AATTCTTTTTTTTTTTTTTAATAGCGTACAATTTATATTTATTTTAGTTGTTTATTATTTTGTTTACATTAGTTATTATTATTTATTATAATAATATTAAATGTTAAACGACTTTTTATAATTATTTTTTATAAAAAATATGTTTTAAACAATATTTATTTAATTGGATGTGTAAACAGTTTCTAAAACATTTTTATCTCTCATATAACATTTTGTTACTACAAAATCCTTTTGACATTTTATTTTATATATAAATAAATATTTTTGTGTAACAGATACGCGAGAATTGCCTTTGAAAAAGGTATTCAGTAATATTTCAGTCAGATGTTGTTGATAAATACACGAAAAAGAGTTATAAGGGTTTGAACATTGGGCGCCGGAATAAACGTCGATGCGGCTGTTTACATAGTAAAATGTCATTTCATAACTATAGAGGATGTCCAACGTAACCGAAGCTACGATCGATATCAGTTTCTTTCTGCACACATTCGTCTCTCTTAAAATAAAATAATTTATCCGATGTCTTTTTTCCCTATATACCATATTATATACTGTAGCATTATACCGCCTTTCTCCCGATATGTTTTACGCGCGCGTTATTGTTGATTCATATATTCAAATATAAATCAAATAGATTTATAATCGTGCTTATTTATATACACTTACCATATTTATATAGTTCTCACTCTTACCTTCATCGCAAAGATGATGCCACACATTCACTGGCGTTGAATCACCTTCCTGATAAACTTAGCCTCCGAATATTTCAGAGAGCCGGCACACATGTCTTTTCTTTTTCCGTGCAACTTTTGCTTTTTTGTCCTTTGCTTTCAACTTTTTGCTCATCTATGCCACATTCACTTGTATTACTCCGATCATCGCTATCAATAGTAATAGTCCTCTTTCTTTCACTCCGGCTGACGTTGGGATTCCTTTCCACTGTTCGAGCTTCTTTATCTCGTCGCACTAGCTCCTTGATATTTTTCCACCTTATTTCAAAGATATTTTGGAGGGAAATCAAGAGTAATACTTTACACTTTACCCCATTTCTATCTTTTCTGCCTTCGTGAAGGCCGAAAATACATAACTCGTAAAATGACTTGCAAGACAGAGTTCTGTCCCAGTAATTTGTGATACAAAAATTCGTTGACAAATATTTATATAAAAAAGAAACTACAGGACCAAAAAAGTCATTCTTACTGTTAATTAAAATAATTGCTTTGCACGGTTTTGAAAACTGTGTCGAAATTGAATCTCGCTTTTTCGTGTGAACAAAACCATCATAAACTTTGTCGTAATACAAAGCACAATAACAGAATATGAACACTGGACATAAAATGTGATTTATCCTTGTACAGAATAAGTCTTTAAATTTTCAAGGCTCACGTAATAATCTAATATATCAATAGGCACCGAACTCCCAGGAATTTAAAAGAGAAATATTTTCAACTGTTGTGCAAACAATTTTTTTTATCAATTTTTTATTGATATTTTATTAATATTTAATACTTTTGTTTCATTTAAAAAATTATTTTTGCATCTTTTATAAAATTCGTTTATTCCTTATTATAATAAAAAGGGGAATAAATTGATTAATAATATTTATGTACGCAGAAAGAGAAAGTATATTGACACTTTCTCTTAGTTCTGTATTAAAAGAAAACTACAAAAATTTCTGTCTAAAAATAATTTTATTATCAATATTTAATTAACAATATTATTGAGCGCAGCTTCCAAATGTTTTTAAGTATATATAGAAATGAGTTTATTTATAAAAGTTCTATTTTCTCTAAGTTCTTTGTTTCTAAAATACATTTCAAGAACTTAAAATATAATCGACTCGTTTTAATTTGAATTTTGTTCATAAAATAAAACTCGTGTCTTAAATGAAAAAGAAAGATAAATTACAATGATGATACGAGTAAACCGCGACAAATTCTTTCCTAGCCATTTTATAATGAATTTGTATTTGATTTCATTTTTTTTTACGCGTAAATATACATAAGCAACGAATCTAATATTATAAATAATTCAAAGCTGCAAATTTGTTTTTTTTTCAGTTTCCTTTGTTATTCTGGAAAAAACATTTGCTTTCCTTTTTTGTTAATCTTAATTATAATAGATTGTATTCATCGATAAATGCATGCATAAAGAACACTATAAGTTCTTGCCGCTTTCTGCATACTCATCCCACTTTGAATTACAGCATATTTCTTCAGCATATTTCTTCATATTTCATATCTTTTCTCGTTTTATTTTAATTTTTAAAGTTTTAAGTATGTATTTTTTACTTCTTTCTCTCTCTCTCTCTCAAAATTAGATAAATTATTTAAAATCAAATTTGCGATTTAAATTTTTTAGCAATTTAATAAGTCAAAGTTTTATCCGGCATTCATTGATTTAATTCATTTGTTTGAGATTTCAAAATATTAGTTAAAAGGCAACGCTGAGAATTAAATACAATGGAAATTATATTGTAATATCCACAAAAAAGTTACAGATTATTAAAATATTAAAATTACTAAAGTTTGCTTTATTAAAACCACACAACTTTGCTCTCCTCGCGACATGAAAATTAGGAAAATAATAGTATAATTAATATGTTTGATTACAAAATTCAATTTAATATTTCAAACAAAAATAAACTTCAATCTTCAAATTTAGATTTAATGAATAAAAGTTAAATATTTATATTTAATTCATGTTTGTCGATAAAATCTCCGTAGTCAATTTTGTAATGCGATATACAATATTTACACATGTGTGTGTCTATCACATTTCCATAATTTATAAACTGATAACTGCTAAATCACAGGCTGTACTTGTTACCGACAATTTTAACAATTTACCTGTGATCACAGTAGTATAATGTTAATTTACTCGGATTATGGTGGCATTATTGCGTATTCAAAAGCACACACTGCATGCATTGTAATTTAGATACATCTAATATCTGATATCATTACGCGTAAGCTACATAGATATATAGACACACATAATAGTTCAATATTTTGATTATCTTAAAATGATGTTTAACCACGCTTATCTGCAATGCAATGGCAATTGCATCATTAAATATAACAGTAACAATAGGTGACTCGGAGAAACAGTACGAATGATGAAGGTGCTACTATTGCTTATCTGCTGCCTGTTTCTCACTTGGAATCTTCGATTTGATACATTCAGAAATGATGAATCTTGTACCAATTCTAAATAAAATATTAAAATATATTATTATATTATTATAGTCGAAAAAAATTGGAATTAATATCAAAATAGTTAACATTGCGAAATGGTTACTCGTATATTATCATTTATTTTTAATTTGTCAAAATTCTTTAGCGTTCTAAGCAAAATAAAACTATCTTCGTCTCTATATTAAATATTTTTTTTAGTTTGCCTTCCAATCTTTTATTTCAGAAGAAAATGCCTGTACCCTCTAAGAAACACGTATACATATATTTATTTACGAGATCATTTTTCGGGAGGATATGTTACGTGAGAAGAATAAAAACGTCCAAATTATTATGGGACGACCGATATGTCCCTGTTGGTGATATTAATCCATTTATCATTCTTATGTCAGGTTCTCGATGTTCACACAAAAGCATGAATAATCGCTATACACAGAATGATAAGAGCGATGCTGATCGTTCAAAAAAAGTAACTATCGTTCTTCTTACATTCTAATAAAGCAAGATTACTCAGCATTAATTTATTTTTGTCGTCATTTTGAGGCTATCAGCCGGGAATGAACATGAAAACACTGATCCGCATTGACGGATCTTAACCTGGTTTCGTCTGGTTGACTAATGTTATCAACGCGAGAGAAGATACACGATAATGAAGAATAACAACTTTGTTTCCTTCATCTTGATCGCGCGTAAACTACAGACTTATGTGTTTTCATTTATGCGAAAAATTCAAAATAAAGAGATAATACAATTCACATATAACAACATTTAAAATTTTAATTTTAATATCAAGAATACAGCAAAATAGCTGTAAAATATCTCTTTAAAAAAATATAGTAAAAATAAACTGTGATAGCATATTTATTATGTACTCTTTTCGATTTTTTTAATCAACTTTTTTTTAAACTGTATTACGTATTTGTCCAATAAGTGTATATAAAGAAAATATATAAAAAATAAGTGTGTATACAAAAATATGATTACGAAAATACGAATTGAGAGACGGTTCAGCAGGTATTAACGGTGAGAAAAAGATTTCCCACTTTTGTAGACAAAGGTAATCTTCTTACACAAAAGTGCCTCCGGCATCTGAGACTCAGGAACACCGATAAAGATAAACGAGCTTTCGTGCTTAAGGATTAACCGAGTGGTCGCGTGTCCCGTAACGATCGATGAAGCAACGAATCGAGGGAGAAGAGTCGGCCAAGTATATTCGGTCGCTAAGTAAGTAGTAACAAACGTGCATGAACGGCCAACGTGACAACAACAAAGGCTTCTCGCGTTGTTATTTGGGATTTGCAAGCAAACCACATATGGCTGCTTGTTCAGAGAGTAACAATTGACAGATTAGTCTTTGTTAACATTAGCGTATACAGAGAGAATTTTCTCTTAGAATTTACCACAATATAAAATATTCATGTCTACCACAATAAAATATATAATATGTTCGATTAATTTTACTATGTATATATTCATATTTTTCATTATGGTTAATCAGAGAAACTCTTATAAAATTCTCCCAATACCATATTGTCTCACGATTATCATGATTTTCAAGATAAATTCTGGGAGAAAATTCTCTCCGTGTATGTATACGGTAAACACCTTAAGATATCTTACAAGTAGCTAATCAGCTTGAATATATTTGCAATATATAATTTTGGCAGTGGAATTATGCTGTGATGTAACCTGACTTAAAATAAACCAATGGTCGAATAATCTAAAAAATCCACAAATTATAATATATATAGACATTTTTTGTCTCATAGCGTTTACATTTTTTAATAATTTTTTCTCTTCTTTTGAATCTATCTTAAAATTTTTTTAAAAATATTAGAGACCAGTTGAAGTCTCTTCTAAGATAGAGTCTGCACTTACTTGATAACGGTTGCTGGATCGTCTTATATGCTGTTATGTAATCTGCTTTTAAATAAACAAATTGTCAAATAATCTAAAGAATCCCCAAATTATAATATATACAGACATTCTTTGTCTCATAGCGTTTACATTTTTAATAATTTTTCTCTTCTTTAAAATCTACCTTAAAATTTTTAAAAAAATATTAGAGACCAGTTGAAGTCTCTTCTAAGGTAGAGTCTGCACTTACTGCAGAGGGATTGATAACGGTTGCTGGATCGTCTTATATGCTGTTATGTAATCTGCTTTCAAATAAACAAATTGTCAAATAATCTAAAGAATCCCCAAATTATAATATATACAGACATTCTTTGTCTCATAGCGTTTACATTTTTAATAATTTTTCTCTTCTTTAAAATCTACCTTAAAATTTTTAAAAAAATATTAGAGACCAGTTGAAGTCTCTTCTAAGGTAGAGTCTGCACTTAAACTGCAGAGGGATTGATAACGGTTGCTGGGGAAGGTTCCGGATGGGCATAGACTCGGTCTGCCAAGCTTGTAGAGCTGCCGGGGCGCGGTGCGATCGACGGGTCCGTAATTACACACGAGTACTTCGACCCGATTCCCAAACCCGCCGGGCGTCGTCGCGGTCTTGTTCAAGTCGAGCGTGTAAATCGCGCGGCCGCAACCAACGTAAATGAACGTCGCCGATGCGAGGGGAATGTAAGAGGAGAGTTGCCACGTCGCGCTAGAGTAGTTCACTAGTCTGAAAGGTACGATTATCTGGACTAAATGAAGGTGGACGGTCGGCAGCCTTTGGGTCTCCCTCCATTGACGCGCAACTTGAATTTAAATTAGGATGGGAGAGAGAGAGAGAGAGAAGCTTTTCATAATTTGAAATTTTTACGCAAGTCCTGGGAAATGCCTTTATAGATTCATCTTAAACTTGCAAATGGAAATTGTTAATCAAATTTTATGAAGGAAATAATTATGAGTTAAATTCTTGTTTTTTATACAAAAATATATGTAATAATTCCAAAAGACATATTTTGTTTAAGAAAGAAATGTCATAAAAATTATATTTTAAAATTAAATCTATAGCTCTATTAGAAATTTATTCGATTGGAATTATTCGAAAAAAATTTAAATAAGTTATAACATCTGGGTAGATGTGTATAAAAAAATGATAGGGTAATATGCCTTCTCGTACACTCTTTCAGACGACTTTACAAGGTTAAAGCTCGGAACTGATATTGTATTACATTTTTATGTATTCTATAGAAAATTGAAACTTTTTTTCCTATCAGACCTGAATAAAAAAAGAGACGGCGGCAGCTCATAGCTGCTGGGGGATTCATGTATACCGGACTATCGACGAGTAATTTGGGCCGGTACAATAGCACTCTCGATTTCCAATTTATCGAGAGAATACGCGATTTTGATTGTTCCCGGCGACAGAAGAAGAACACCACCCGTTATTCCTCTATTTCCACCCTCTATTCTATAGAATCGGTCATTTTCTCTACGACGGTCAAGTCATTTCATTCCTCTCCTTCCCTCTAACCTTAGTTCCCTAGTATTGGTTTTAGAAGGATAAAGACGCTGTCGCTCAAGGCACCAAGAGAAGAACGCGTGGCATATATCAGAATATTGAAATAATTTACATATTTTTATGGAAAATTATTTTTCTAAATTTAGATTTTACATGCACACATATATATATATATATAACATATGTATGATGTATTGATAGTTTTTCTGCAAAATGTGAAAAAGAAAGTGTAAGGAAACAAAACATCTTTAACATTATAAAATTATTCTAGATATCTACGTCCAATGTATTTTCAAATTCCATATGCATTTCACAATTATAAATCCAGATTCTATAAATCACTGTGGCTCTTGAGATTTTTAATTCGTAAAAAAAATAAATAAAAGTCATACATACATATATTTAAGATTTTTGCAGTTTATCGTATACATATATCCTTGTTTTTAATTTTAATTCAAAAAAATAAGACGGTAAGGAGAAAGAATATCGCTCGGGGCGCAGATGCGTCCAAAACCAGCACTGAATCCCCCGAGATTACCGCGATCGCGGGCAATAGCAGAAACGAGGGTGGATACGAGGGATGAAATAGAGGATCGCGAAAAGGTGAGAGAAAGAGAGAGAGAGAGAAAGGGCAAGGAAGAACAGAGCGGGAGCCGCAAACCTTTCCCCGAAATTTGGCGGACCGAGTTAGCTTGTGTCTACACGCCGGATCGAACATCGGCCATTCACAAAGGAGTAGTAGAGTCTCTCGGCACAAAGGAGTCGTTCCGATCAACTCGGGCTCGGGCTATTGTACCTTCCTCTTGACGGCATCGCGATTCCTGCACGCGTTACCAACGACCTACATATACACGAGCGTGAAGGAAACTTGCGCGTGTATATTTACGCCGATTCTGTCGATTTGCATACACGAGGTGTGACTAGCCAGACCTAGCCAGCCATCTTCCAAATGTATCTTCGACCGATTTGGAAGCAATTTTTTTCTTCACAGCCAGAAGAAGTAGTATAGTCGAGCTATAGGAATAATTGAGAAAATAAAAAGAAGGGAAGATTTTTCGAAAAAAAATTAAAAGCGCAAGAAAAAAATTCAAGCTTAACTAAACTTGATTTTATAATAGATGCTTAATTGAAGAATTGGTCAAGAAGATATTTATTGTTGAGAATTGAGAACTTGCACGAGCGGACAAATGATAAACGATCTTCCGCCGACGTTTTCGCCAAAGAGAAATTGGTCAAAAGATCCATCTAGGTGAAAGATGGCTCGCCAGGTACAGGACATCCTGTATATCCTGTATATATATATATACACCCTGCGCGCACACTTTCGAGTTTTACCCGATTTCCGCGTTGTCGAAGTCCTCTACCTCGTCGTACCACGACGTAATATGAAAGTGAATTCTTTCCCTACTCGTGCTATTTTCTACGCTGTCCATGTCGAGTCGCTGTTCACGTTCTGCCATACGCCAAATCGTTCTGCAACGAGCGACTCGTTTCAATAAGGCATCCGTATGCAACCCCGATCTCGGAGTATAGTAATCGTTCTCGGTATAACAAGATTCGCACACCGAGTTCTCTGTCTTTTTAATAATACAGTTTTTGCCTCTCTCCTTTTTTCATACAATTTTGCAAATATCGCTTCGATCTTTTTAAATTTCAACATTTCAGATACTGACAAATATTTTTGATCATTAACTTTCTTATTGTCATAAATACAGACGTCATTTTTGTAAGCATCAAAATCTATACGAGCGCTGAATAAATTCTGATGAAAAATCCGGTCGATTAAAAAATTAGAGACATCTTCTCAATCTTATTAATAATACAATTTTTGGCTCTCTCCTTTTTAATATAATTTTGTAAATATCTCTTTAATTTTTAAAAATGTCAACATTTCAGATATTTTTGATCATTAATGTTCTTATTGTCATAAATACAGACGTCATTTTTGTAAGCATCAAAATCTATACGAGTGCGGAATAAATTCTGATGAAAAATCCGGTCGATTAAAAAATTAGAGACACCTTCTCAATCTTATTAATAATACAATTTTTGACTCTCTCCTTCTTTAATATAATTTTCTGAATATCTCTTTAATTTTTAAAAATGTCAACATTTCAGATATTTTTAACCATTAATGTTTTCATCGTCATAAATACAGACGTCATTTTTGTAAGCATCAAAATCTATACGAGCGCTGAATAAATTCCGATGAAAAATCCGGTCGATTAAAAAATTAGAGACATCTTCTCAATCTTATTAATAATACAATTTTTGGCTCTCTCCTTTTTTAATATAATTTCGTAAATATCGCTTTAATTAAAAAAAATTTTAACATTACAGATATTTTTGACCATTAATGTTCTTATCATTAGAAATACAGACGTCATTTTTGTAAGCATCAAAATCTATACGCTAAAAAAATTCCGATGAAAAATCCGGTCGATTAAAAAATTAGAGACATCTTCTCAATCTTATTAATAATACAATTTTTGGCTCTTTCCTTTTTTAATATAATTTCGTAAATATTGCTTTAATTTAAAAAAATTTCAACATTACAGATATTTTTTACCATTAATGTTCTTATCATTAGAAATACAGACGTCATTTTTGTAAGCATCAAAATCTATACGCTAAAAAAATTCCGATGAAAAATCCGGTCGATTAAAAAATTAGAGACATCTTCTCAATCTTATTAATAATACAATTTTTGGCTCTCTCCTTTTTTAATATAATTTCGTAAATATTGCTTTAATTTAAAAAAATTTCAACATTACAGATATTTTTGACCATTAATGTTCTTATCATCATAAATACAGACGTCATTTTTGTAAGCATCAAAATCTATACGCTGAATAAATTCCGATAAAAAATCCGGTCGATTAGAAAATTAGAGATACCTTCTCAATCTTATCTACATAATGCAACGCATATATGCGCGTGTTTCCGCTGCCGTATCGATAGAACAATTTCGCGTCTGCACGGGTTATTGGATATTGAAAAATAACGGCGCGACGAGAGAGTGAAAGAGAGCGACGAGAGTGGGAGGAAGGTATAGAGGGATGAAAAATGAGATATATCCGTTGGAGTTACTTGCCAATGTCTCGGCACTGATCCTCCTCGAAGAGCTTGCACTGCAACGCCCATCGACGTGCTATAACGGCGAGTTCGTCGTCCCAGATCTGTCGAAACAAATGATGCTTCAGATGCCGCGTCTCTGCCACCCTTCCGGATAAATGATTAAATATCGCGCGTGTGTTCCGTCGATTTTTCTACCAATTCCATCATGGTCCTCGCGGCGGGTTGCAACCCGGGATTTCCGCGGCTCGTCTTGCCGCTCGCCAGAGCGATCCGATAAAAATTATGACTGTCGAGCACGGTTTCGATATCCACCCCATCGAGATCGCCGTACTCCATATCGACGCAATCCGCGCCCTCGCAATCGGACTGCACACGGATATCAGGAGCGAAAATAATCATACGAGCACAGAAAAAACAGTATCCTTGAAAGAATGCAAATATGCCTCGATTCAAGTATATTTTATCCTTATAATAGCGCCAAATATAAATAATTTTGGATAAAGGATAATTTATCTTTAAAATAAAGTGCAAAATATTCTTGGTTGAAGCTGAAATTTACTTATAAATATTGCAAGGACAAGTGACAAGTGAGCATCGGAAATAAACGATACTTTCAAGTATATATACTTCACACAAACTTATTTATTATTAAGGCAAATGAAAATTTTTGATTATAAAGAGCATTCTATGTTTAAATCAATCAAATAGCGTTCAAGAATAAAAATATACTTGAATCAAGGATTCTTTTTTTTCTGTAAGGGTGTTTCCGAAACCAAATATTATATACTTTCAGATATATCAATTAGAGATATAAATAATATGTCATTTTTCTATGTAATCACCCTCCTTTTCAATACATTTTTTTACTTCCTTTAGAAAAAATGTTTTTCCTCGTCATCAAACGCACATGATAATCAGAGAGAGTCAAATAAGGATGGATGCAGTAAAATCAAAGAAGCGGCGCATTCCTGGTTGGAAATACGACCAAAAATTTGTTATCTAATGGAATAAAAAAGTTATGTAGAAAAATGACATTACATCACAGAAAAAAAGGAATCCTTGATTCAAGTATATTTTTATTCTTGAACGCTATTTGATTGATTTAAGCATATAATGCTCTTTGTAATCACAAATTTTCATTTGCCTTAATAATAAATAAGTTTGTGTAAAGTATATTTTATCCTTAAGATATATTTTTGTTTTAAAAATCGTATATGGTAAAAACAAACTTAGTCACATTTGAACTAAGAATTATTATATTTATTTGAAAGTACCGCTTATATCCGATGCACACTTGTCACTTGTCTTTGCAATATTTATAAGTAAATTTCAGCTTCAACCAAGAATATTTTGCACTTTGTTTTAAGGATAAATTATCCTTTATCCAAAATTATTTATATTTGGTGCTATTATAAGGATAAAATATACTTGAATCAAGGCATATTTGCATTCTCTCAAGGATACTGTTTTTTCTGTGATATCATTTGTATCTCTAATTGAATTATATATCTCAAAATATTTTTGCCGTACATTCTTTCGTTACGCGAAAAGAGAGAAATTGAATCTCTCAATTATAATATATATTAAATACCGATGAATGGATTATTTTAATAGAATAATTGAAGGGTTGGAAACTTTTGGATGTCGCGAATTTTAAATATCGGCACGTTTTGTCACGATTTCGAGTATTGATTTCCAAATAGAATATTCAATATTGAATGTTTAATATTAACTTGCTATTCTAATCGATCAAATGGAGTTTACGTGCGTGCACGATATTACCGAAGCAGCCCTTATATATAAATATTTACAAGGAACAAGCACATGGTGTGATCGGGACAAGTACGGCAATCATTTTTGTCCTGACGCTCGATAATGTCTTTCCTCGCCGTAACGCGCGCCGAAAAAATAACAGATAAAAGGTGCGAACTGTCATCCCCGGATCGAACTTCATCATCGTCAACCATCGGCGCGGCCGCGCGAAATTGATCGCGCGCGTCAGCTGCAATTGCGCTTCGGGATCCGCGCTTAATCGCGAGACGCGAGCTTTTCTTCTGTATCTTTTTTTTCTCTCTCTCCACCGCGAGTTTCCCAACTTCAAACCGCGCGAATCAATTTAGCGACTTCGACAGTTCGAGACGCCTGGATTCGTAGGGAAAATTTATCGCGCAACGGAACGGAAATTCATATCGCCTATATATATATATGCGCCTTGATCGATGCGCGAATTGAAAACGAGACGTACGTATATGTATGTATGTACCTAAGCAACGCATCGCGAGCAAACTATTTCAATTCCGCATTTATTACGGACCGAGAATTTCGCGGCTGCGTGTAAAGAAAACGAAATCGTTGCCGGGACGGCCCGTTGATAAATTGTCTCGCCAGCGGAATGCCCGGCACTCTCGGCAGGCAGGCCGATATTTTTATTTGCTCGCGTGGCACATTGCTTTATATCCAAAATTTATCTATCCTCTTCACCCTTTCCGCCCCTTTTCTTTCCGGGTTGTCAAGTATTTTGGTGCAGGTTATATTTTATGTCGCTTAATTCGCGCGTACTCGACCGGCTTTTAAGCTCGCATCATGCTTTCCAAATATCTGCCAATGCGACAGCTATTTTTATATATTTTAATTATCTATATCAATAAAATATCCAGTAATATATTATAGAAACCGATATAAAACAATTATAAACAAAAAATATCCAGTTTATATCAAAATGAAAGCAAAAGTAAAGAGCAAAAAAGAGACAAGTAAAAATATAATAAACAATTCTCTTGACTATATGCGATAACTATTTTAATATATTTTAATTATCCAATATTAATAAAATATCCAGTAATATATATAAGTAATATATTATAGAAACCGATATAAAACAATTATAAGCAAAAAATATCCAGTTTATATCAAAATGAAAGCAAAAGTAAAGAGCAAAAAAGGGACAAATAAAAATATAATAAACAATTCTTTTGACTATATGCGATAGCTATTTTAATATATTTTAGTTACCTAACATTAATAAAATATCTAGTAATATATATGTAATATATTATAGAAATTAATATAAAACAATTATAAAAAAATATCCAGTTTATATAAAAATGAAAGAAATAGTATATAAAGAGCAAAAAAGGGACAAATAAAAATATAATAAACAATTCTCTTGACTATATGCGACAGCTATTTTAATATATTTTAGTTATCTAACATTAATGAAATATTTAATAATATATATGTAATATATTATAGAAATCGATATAAAACAATTATAAAAAAATATCCAGTTTATATAAAAATGAAAGCAATAGTATATAAAGAGCACAAAAAAGGGACAAATAAAAATATAATAAACAATTCTCTTGACTATATGCGACAGCTATTTTAATATATTTTAGGTACCTAACATTAATAAAATATTTAGTAATATATATGTAATATATTATAAAAATCGATATAAAACAATTATAAAAAAATATCCAGTTTATATAAAAATGAAAGTAATAGTATATAAAGAGCAAAAAAGGGACAAATAAAAATATAATAAACAATTCTCTTGACTATATGCGACAGCTATTTTAATATATTTTAGTTATCTAACATTAATGAAATATTTAATAATATATATGTAATATATTATAGAAATTGATATAAAACAATTATAAAAAAATATCCAGTTTATATGAAAATGAAAGCAATAGTAAAGAGCAAAAGGGAGAGAAAAAAAATAGAATAAACAATTCCCTTGACTATACAAAGTATACGATTCGTATAGAACAATTTCGTGGTCTTTGTTTCCCTCCTCTAAGTGCGATTCCTAAAGCTCTCGATAGTAATATCACGGTGAAATTCTGGCGTGGAGGGTCGAAATTTGTTTGTTCGATCGTTTCCCCGCGGGAGATGTTATAACGTGTAAACGTGCTTGTTCGGCAAGTTCGTTGCTTGTGCGGCGCGTGTTTTCATTTCGCGTAGCCGAAGCCCGCCTCTCATATCATTACTGTTTCAATACGCATGGGAAGGTAAGAACTTCTCCAAGTTCCGTCGCGCGTTTCCAAGACCGTCGTCGAACATTTCGCCGTCTCTCCCTCGCCAGGATCGCTGTATCGCGACAATAGCTGGAGATTGTCGACGAAACTAATGTATGGTAGCCGTGGCGAATTATACTTGCGAGAGTGATTCAAATTTTCGATCGATTTTATACACTCTCTCTATCGCGATCGCGCGCGCGCGAGAAATATTTATTTATTTATTTATTTATTTAACCGAGCGTTGTGCGTCTCTCTTTTCTGTAGTTTTTTTCCCGAAAAATATCTCTTTTCTCATAACAATAAAATAAATAAATAAATATAAAATATATACAACGCTCTTTCGCAGATGCCATACGCGAAGCAGAAAAGCAGAAAATTTTGGGAGGGTGGACTATATGACGCGTTTAACGACACTGTAAATTTACTTAACGTTTTAACGTAAAACAGTATATGCATATGCGACAACTCGATTTTGCAAGGGCTGATTGTTTTGTCAGTAACGCAATTTACATTTCCGAGTAATGGCATGTCAAACATTTTGATTAAAACGAAAAGCGGCGTATGGGCATTGGAAACACGCAGAAGAAATTAAAATTAATCTGAAGAATTTCAAATTAATAATACGCACTTGAAAATAGTTTATTTTATACATGTCTCGTGGTACACAAATAGTAATATATCTGTCTGCGCGAAAGTATTTACACGCGGGGATTTTAAGATATATATTTCAAGATATTTTTGTTTCTGACAACTTTCTGCGGGATATATATTAATCTTCGATGCCATATACATATAGAATCTTTGAAATGTGAACTGTGCGCAAAAAATTCAATAAATATAAGAAACCAGTTAATAATTATTATCAGCGAGAATATAACTGTATTGTCGCACGATATATATATATATATATATATATATATATATATATATATTGCAGCTTATAACTTGCCGAGCGTTTTAATTGCATAATTGGCAAATCTTGTAAGAGATCTAAAATCTAGAATTTCCCTCAAAGTTGGAAATATCTTCTAAAACACAAAGAGGTACATTTTCTGCGCTACATAGAGATGTTCCGTATCTTTGAGAAATTCCTTAGCGGCTCATTTAATAGATATGCATACATATGAATATGAAAATCTCTCATCGTGTAATCCCTGTAGAAATTACATATAACGATAAGTTGATGTTACTTGGTCCCTGGCAAATGTGTATATGTGTTTGCTTGAATAATTATCATATCACGGAAGCCTGTTACTTTTAATGGCATGTTATCCACAATAAGATACACGGTGCGCGAACAAGATTAAGTAAACCTTATATTAGCAGTAGCTTATACAGATAATACTGCCATATATGCAAATCGATCGTATAGCTATACAAATTTGTTGATCACACTTGTAGCTCAAGCTCTCTCTCCCTCGGGATACCGTCGAAAAAACTAATTTATGCAATATTATCTGTGTTCCATATGTGAAAAGCTGTTGTCGATTAATATTTCATACTTCGACTCTTATAATTATTTATGAAGCGTTATTCGCATATATCTCTTGAATTAAAAGTGGAAATTTTGGAATTAAATCAAAATTCGGCGCGCGTATTATTACAGTTTCAAGCTTTTACAACTGAATTTGCGCAATATTCGAAATAAGCGGCTCGTTCGAGCACGAGGCTTCTTTATGGGCGATCATCCGTGTGACGTCGGCGCAGCGCAAAATGTAGTCATAAAGTCATATTACGGACTATCCGGTGCGTTCTCCCGCCAGGCCAATATTGTGTTCATGTCGGTGATGCCACGCGTGCTCCAGGGCTCGAGCGGATCCGAGGAGGACGTAGGCGGTGAAGCCGCCTTACTCTGCTCAATCGATTCACTCATCTTCGTCGACTCCTCTATTTCCTTAGGCGATACCCTACGCATGCATGTATTAAAAACCGCGGACTGATTAAAGAAATAATCAATCGTCCGCTCGTATCGAGTCCAATATTATAGAAAGAATGTATTTCTTATATATTTATATATTTTTCAAGAAAAATGTCACATGAATGTGTGACCAATTTTATTATTGTACGTCTTTTACTTTTTCTCTTTCCAATTTTTAATATTATATATTATGTATATATTTGTAATGAAACATATTAAGTATTATAATTAAATGGATTTTTAATTAAGCTTTGAATAAAATATATTTAGATAAAATTTATTTTAATTAATGTGATCATATATTTGTCTGAAACTATAAATGCAAGGATATCTTTATTGAAAAAAATTAATCTACAGTAGACACATACATGATTCTATTCTGAATAGCGTCAACGACTGGATAACTAGATAGAATTTCATTAATGTATTATTTAAATCATGTCAGTTAACGCTGTTATTTATTCAAAAAGGTAAGAGATAAATTTGTCTCTCTCTCTCTCTCCCTCCCAGTTCACTTACTATCGATTCTTTCGTGGTAAGTTAATATAAATAGTTGATATAAATATCGATTCAATAAATATCGACTTTAATTTTATATAAAATATATATATCTAAAACTAATATATCTATCTAAAAATGCTATAAATTTGCTCACTATTTATTATAGGAATAAACGAAATTATTTATAAATTCACCAGTAATTTTTAAAACTATTTATTCATAGTGTTAAAAAAATATTTATTATTTTTGCCTTTTTGAAAAATTAAAACAAAATTTTTTTTCTTTCGCACTTTTGTTTAAATTATTTTCGCAAATATAAAAATATTTTCCTATTAAACTTTGCTATAATTCGTATGAATCATGGTCATTGATTCATCGCAAAATTATTAGAAAATGTCATGATTCATCATCGACTATGAGTCATTGTTACCTGTTCTTGGCCGTTTTCGGCCGACGTTTCTGATGAACTTTATCCGGTGGCTTGATTGGAATGCCATTCTGCTTGACTTCCGATTTCATTGTTTCGATGGAAGTCTTTTGACCTTCAATCTCGATATGATTTGTTAATTTTTCTTCCGGATCATTAAATAGTGGTCGATATCGCTGATTTCGTTCGATGGACACAGTGGACGAGGAACTATCGTCATCGTCATCACGGTGTGACCGTTTTGACGTAGTGATAAACCTATTATTTGCAGATTTTATTCTTCGAAGGCGAGCTTCAGTGCCAAGCAAATTATCTCCTGCAAACGACGTAATCTCTTTTGGATAATACAAAATTTACAGATATAAAAGTTCGATAAAGTTTCGACACATTCTTAAAGCAAAAATTTAAAATTTGTTATATACTATAAATAGATCTGTATATAGAAATGGTTATACAGAGCTATTTAAAATTATAATAAAAAACACAAAACTTTATTTTGCATTTATCAAAATAATGAGATTTTACAATTCATGAGAACTTATTTGAAATATATTTTTCTATTACTTTTTTTATATTTTTGTCTTGTTATAATATTTTTTATATATTATAATTTTAGCTATATTATATAATTTTATGTTCAATGTATCATAAAAAAGTAAAATTGTATTTTTAATTTTTTATTAATATAATTTTTTCAGGCACTATTTATTAAATGCATATCCAATATAAAAGTAATATAAGTAAATTTTCGTTCTTTTACAAATGCAAAATAAATTGTTTTAATGAATGTTTTCTGCATGAAGTGCAAAAGAAATGGTTACATAAACATTTAAACAATATATTTACAGCGCGTGAGTATTTCGACTAAGCAAAGCCTTTGACACTTGATTCTTTTAGCAAATTCTTTTTTTCTCTACTTTAAGCGTTCTAGTGCCACAATATTTGCATTACTTAACTTGAAACGTAAAGACGAACGCCAGGAATTTTTAATTATAGCTTAAGCATGCATGAGTAAGAATTTCAGGCTAAATGAAACTCTTTTGAAACCTAATTCATGGTAATATATTCTTCCTCCTAGCGTGAAAGATCTTAAAGCGTGCCACGATATATACATTTTTTATATATATAAAATGCTGAAACAATAGCTAAAAATCTTTAATCATGTAAAACCACGCATGAGCATTTTGAACGGATTCTTTTTCAGGTTCTAATCGGTAACAAATTATATTTCTTTCTTCCTCTCGTAGAGGATTTTAAAAAGTAATAATTTGCCCGTTTTATAAAACATAGATATGACCGTCAAAAATAATAAGCTTTGTATATACGTGCAAAAATTTCGGTAATTTTATATGCTGGATATATATTTTCTACATATTTTTAGAAAAATCTTTTAATTTGTCGTTTTAATGAAAAAAATTCAATTAGAATAATAAATAATAATAAAATATTTAAATTAAAAAAAAATTAAAATAACAATCGTTTATTTTCCTTTTTATATATATTTGCATATACTTATTTAATTATTAGAAAAAAACTTTCAAATCTTCTTCGAATTTTCAAGTTCTTTTCTGATATTTCTTATTTTATATAATTATATATGTGTGTACGCGTATAATATACTAATATTAATTTTATAGATATTTATAATATTAATTATATTATAATATAATAGATAAAACAGCGTCAAGAGGATCATTATTTCAAAGATAAACAAACAATGAATTTGATAAGAAAGCTAGTAATACATGAAATATAATATATTAAATAAATGATATGACTCACCTCACGATTACTCCACAGTTGTCCAATGCCTCTCTGGGCCTCGTTCTCTCCGCTTGCTGCTCTTTTGCCACTTATTCATGGCACTCATTCGCGAAAACACTTTTTAATTACAATTTTGCTTACAAAACACGAGGCAAATCGCACAGCACTTTGTACGGCACTGCCGACACGTTAATTGCACGCGACGCGTATTTTATTTATTATATTGCGGTAAGAGAACAACGTGAAAACTACGATCTCTGCTCAGCACTCGAAATTCGCGTAGTTAGATTAACACGCTACTCGTAACGTTTATTGTTAACAAATAGTATAAGCTCTCGTTTTAAAACTACATTATATATAGTAGTCGTTTTAAAATTAAAACGAATGCTATCTTGCATTAAAAACACGCATAAATGTAATATACGAGTTTATGAATTAAAAATAAATGTTCGAGAATGCAAACCAAAAATATGTCCTCACTTTGTTGACTACTCGCGCGATAGATTTCGATGAAATAAATTACGCACGCGTTTTAACAAATTATCAACGTACGTAAACTTTTGCTGCATGATATTGATAAATTACAAATCAGTTAAAAATATACTATGTACTATAGGTTTAATTAATTTCATGTATTAATTAAACGTCGCTTGGAACGTCGATTCGGAGTCAGTATACATTTTGTCCTCGAAACATTCCGTTAATGACTGATGAATTTTGCTAATGGTAACTTCATCCCGATACTTGTATATGATATTACAAGAGTTGACTTAAGACTATAAGGCTAATTAAGACGGAACTCGTTAAAATAGAGGAATAATGCAACGAAATGCGGAGCGACTCATGCTCGAGTCTTCGAATGATAACAAGATCGCGCGAAATGTAAGCAATGGCGCCGTGAGAGACGACCAAATACGATGTAGCAAACAATATCCATCGTCATGACGAAATATTTAATATACTATGATATGTATGTATATATACGTGAAATATACTACTCCTAAAATTTCAAACTAATTATTAATAAATTTTGATTGATTTGGTTAATGTTAATTTTTCATTAATTTGCTCTCACTCGAGCTTACAATTTGTGTATTATTGAATGTATTCACATAATTTGAAAATAATTAAAGGAAAAAATCGATGCGAGATTTACATTCGAAACATATATAGGTATATATTTTAAAAAGTAAATTTCATAATTAAATCATAATTTCCATTCCTTTTCACTTTCATATATCTACTTCAAGTTAATACATTACGAGAAATACATACATGCTTTGAGAGAGATAAATAACTGTGTATTAGGTATGCTTATGAGTTGTCAATCGCTAGAATTAATTAATAGCGAAGGTTGTTAATCTCTAATTGTTATCTAAATAGGCAACGTATTATACGTATTATACGATATAGTAACGTATATTTGACATCACCCGGTGTTTCATTGTATTTTGAAGGTAAACGATGATACACGAGCATATCTCTCGTTCGTAATTAATCTCATCATTTAATTTTGCAAATAATAAACTAAATAATAAATAATAATTATATAATAAATTATCAATTATCATTATTAATAATGAATTATAAATTAAGTTATAAATTGTTTGTTCTATTCGCAATTTATTCATTTCGAAAGAGTATTGAAGTAATAGAAAATAGAAATTACAAATTGTTTGACTACAAAATTTTCAGACGCTAATTGTTTCTTTAATTATATTTAACTTAAATCTTCGAATGTATTTTACAAAATAGAGGAATAATGCGACGAAATCTTAGAACATATAGATGAAATACGGAGCAACTTGTGCCTTTCTGCTTGAGTTTCGCTGCCCGAATAATAACATATGTGAGAAATAAAAATCAAATATTGTATACATGCCGTAATATTCTTGTTACATTCGCGCAATAAATTAACCTGACTCGCATAATATCATGCTATATTGAGATAATGTTGCTATTATTATGTCAAAATTCATTATTTATTAACAAATCAGTCATTAACAAAATATTTTGATTATAGAACGACGAATGAATCAAACAGTATTTAATTTACACGTGATAAAATATAAAATAAATAAACGTAAATAAAATTGGTCAATTGCATAGCAAAACTTCGATATTTATATATTAATGTTAAAACATATAGATATTTTATTCGATCAAAATTCATCCCACGAGTTAGAAAAGCAAGAACATTTTTAAATGTTGCGTTCGGCAAGATATTTATCTTTAATTTTAATTTATACATATTTACATATTCCTGTATACTTATATTTTAATACAGGATAATAATCGTTTTAAAATAAGAATATATATTTTTGTATATTATTTATTTAATAAAATTATTGCGTGCTAATTTAACCACGTAATTTTTCAGTACCAAGTTTTGTGAATTGTAATTTCATGGTTAAATAATTTTCACATAGTTTCTTGCGATTAATCAGTCAGAAGTATTGTATAAAGTGCTGCGCAATCGTCTTGTGCTCATTAGTGTGGACGCGATTATAATTAATAGTATTTTCGCGAGTGAGTGTGAGTGTCATGAAGGAGCAGCAAAGAATAAGCAAGAGAGGAGAAGATCTAGAGAAGTATATCTCAGTCGGAATAATCGCAGAATGTGTGTATTGTGAGCAATTTATAATCTTTTTTATTTTAATTTATTTTATTAAACTTGTAACTCTCATCTAATTTATTATATGTTATTCAGGAAATTAATTACTCGATTATTGCCGCGATAATAATTCATTTTAGAGCATTGTATAATATATAAAATTGCATATAAAATATTTTCAGATATTATTTTAAAATATATATTTAAATATGATATATTGTTATATAAAAAATGTTAAAAAGTTAGATATAACATTCTCAACAAAATAACTTTTTTAAAAAGATGATAAAAAATATGCAAGCATATATAATTATCGAACATTCTCGCTCGTATATGTGTGTATAATACACAGTTAAAAGTTTCTGACGATCCTTCCTGCATTTTATGTTAAAAAGGGTAAGTATACGTATACATGGCACTCTTTATTATCTCTAAGAAAGAAAAAATAATTTTCCAAGCCTCGGAGTTCCAAAGAGTTCATTTCAGGTGAAATATTTGTTTAAATATTCTTAAAAATTCACGACTGCACTTTGTATTTTATACCAAAATATTTTAAAGAATCATCAATTTTATATTTATAAAAAAACCAAGAATTTACTCTTATGCAATTGAAGATGTATACTAATTATTGTATGCAATAATTACTGTAGATCGAGTAACGCCCGAAGCAGTTATATTATTTTTTGATAATAAAGCCTTAAAAATTGCAACGCATGCATACTAATTATTATTACAATCATTGCATAAAAAATATATAATTAATTATGCAGTGCATAAAGATTATATATATATATATATATATATATATATATATATATAATTATATATATAAAGAATTTTTTACAAGAGAGTCTTGATCAAAGTACCTAGCTTTTATTAGACTCGCGTTTTCCATACGTCCGCACGCTGCAAGGCCCGCGCGAAACTGATCACGTGATCATCAGTCTCGCAATCGCAATGTCTCGCAATCTCGCACAAGAATCAGTCTCGCGCGAGACGCGCACTGTGACGGATGTGTGAGATGTACTATCTAATAGAAAGGATAGAAAGAGAGAGATGCTTTCGTCGGATCCTGTTCATTCTTGGCTATAAAGTTATAGGTTTCGCCATCAGTTGGCGACACCACTGCGCAAAATCTTGTGATCAGTGATGGAAATCAGTCTCGTGCGAGACGTGCAGCGTGGTGGACGTATGGGACACATGTGTCTAATGTAAAGGACAAAGAGAGAGAGAAATGTTTTCGCCAGCTGCGGTTCATTGGCTGTGAAGTTGAATTTCGCCGTTAGATGGCGACACTTAACTGCTGTACAGAATCTCGCGGTCAGCGGTCAGCGATTAGTCCGTCAGTCGTCGGTTTCGCGCGAGATATACAGCGTGGGGGATGTGTACAGATGCGCGAATCTAATAAAAGCGGAGATGTTTTGCTTGAAAGATTCTTGTAGAAAATTCTATTTTTTTTTGTCTCCTGTTAAAGATTTAAATATTGGATTTTATGCATTGCATAATTAATTAATATATTTGTATGTATGCGTTGCAATTTTTGAGATTTTATTCTCAAAGATAATTTCGCTTCGCACATGTAATTATATATACATCGATTAGATTAAATAAAATGAGAAAAGAAATATATTATGTATATAAAATTTTATCGTAATTTTGATTGTAATTTTATTGTTTTTGATATATATGTAGTTATTTTTGCAGACTTACTTTATGATAATAAAATTTAAATTTTCGCTTTAAGGATGTCTCAAACTTGAACGATCTGAGACTTATATATAGCACATTATAATTAGCATAAAACTTATAAAATAATTATTATAAAATTGTTATATTAGTAATATAATTTGTAACAGTTCTTTAAAAATTAATATACATATAAAAGGCAATAAGAACTAATTAAATTCTTTCATTAATATTAATTCGAACATTATTATATTGACAGTTATGAATAATTGATTGTTAATTTCTATGATGCGCTGAAGAAGATTGAAAAAGGCAACCGAAACGTTCGAATTTATTTCTGTCTAATATTTTATGTTATAAATGTTTTTCCACAAATAAATATTAATGAAAGAACTTAATTAGCTCTTATTGCCTTTTATATGTATATTATATTAGTAAGTTATTGTAGAATAATTTTTAAACACAAGATAGTGCCTACAAATATACTAATATTTAAAATATAAATTGCTTAAAACAACAATAATATACATATATCTAATAAACTGAAAATTGTGAGTGAATTATAAGCCATTTTTGAATTTTAATGAAGTAATATTAAGTTTGTAAGTTTGTCTTACCACCGAGATCGTTGTCACTGGATTCCATGAAGTACTGCTTCTTAACAATGACTTTCTCAGTCGTCAATGGTGGAGCAATCATCGCAAATTGTGCCAGAATTTGCGCATCAATCGCAGTTTTCATCGACGCTTCGCTAGCGGCTAGAGCAGACTTTGCTATTTGCAGTAGGATTTCGTAATCTGTTGTAGTCTCGGAAGCGATTGCGAGTTCCAGAAATGGATCTTCACTAGCTGCTTCAAGTGCTTTCGTTTCTATATATATATATATATATATATATATATATATATATAATAATTAATTTAATTCCCTTTGCGCACACAGAATTATAAAATTTTGCAGACTTATAGAATTTATATATATTATATTTATAATTTATTTAATTTATTCTTATTATCAGAATATTATTTACAGAAGCAAAATCAACGAAAAGTAATATTTTATCTATACTTACGATTCGTATTTTTTAAATTCATCGCTTCCACATCTTTCACAGGATCAACAGACTTATCGATCAAATCTGTAAGCCCTGATAATTTAGTTTGCTCTCCAAGGGTTTGTTTATGCTGACTCGTCACCGTTTCCGGATTATTCTGGGTCGTTTTCATCTGATGATCGTTGGGAGTGGCTTTTGGTTGTGTCATCTTTGTCTGTTTCGCATCGATATTGGTGGGTATGCCTTCTGTCGCCGTGGATAAGTCAAAGTCATGTGCAAAGGCCATTACGTCCAAAGCTGCGGTTAGCGCATCACCAAAACCTGCAGTAACTGCCGACACTTGCGGTTGGTCTGCATTGGGAGCACTATAATACACGTGAAATTATTACGCGGGCCACAATGTTCCATGAACGGTTTGATATATATCATGAAAATCGATTGTCGCGTATTATATACTCTATTCAAGACACCATTTTATCAAAAAATTATTTTAATGAACGTCACTCATTATAATATTAATTTTAATATATATGTGTGTGTATATGGAATAAATATAATAAATAATATTTTCCTTTTAAAAAGCAAATTAATTAACAAGTAGATTTATGAAATAATTTTATAAATTATAATATTACGTTATAATATTAATATATCATATATGTAATTTTAAAACAATCCAATTCTATCGACGCATAAATTTAATTAAATAATAAAATTGGATATTCTCGAAGTCGCATTTAATTTGTCAGCCAATATGTGTTTATTAAGTGATTAATGTTTCAGGGAAACTGATTCTTGGCTATTGAATAGAACACACGATCTATTCATCTTACATCCTGCTGCTACATAAGTATTATGTAACGTATCGCGCACGTCGAGCTTCATAAATATTTAACAGTATCGAGATACGGTCACGTTCGCGCGCCGCGTTGTTACGCGTTCGCAGAAGCATAAAGCCATGAAGGACTCCGATGTTTCTAAACGCCGACGGCGTTAGCTATGTCCGGTGTTGCATATGACAGGCTCGACGAAATTACGAGGTGATAAAAAGTATCGCCCGAATGCACCGTCTCTCTGACAGAGTGACTCATCCGGCGCAAGGGTGACCATAAATCTATGGCACTGCGTGTTGCGAACGGTCCAGACACAATGTCAGTCAGTAATTGAAACAGATTTGCTCATTCTTGTCGTATACATGGGTTTACAATAATTTAAATAAAGAAATATACATTATAAAAAATAACAAATTTATTATAATAAAAGAAAAATTGTAGAGCCGAGAAATAAAAATATTTTAAATTTCTATTTTATAATACTACCTAATGACACATAATGATATAAACAAATGTAATCAATAGTATTATAATTAATCATAAATTTAATTATAATTATTAATTATAATCATAAATAATATATTATAACAGTATTTAATAATTCTAATTGTATAATAGTAAATATGCACATATGTTATAATGTAATTGATATAATTTTAATAAAAATGAAATTATATATAAGAAACATAATAATGAAACAACATAAATATTTTCAAATAAAATGATAATATAGACAGCTCTGGAGAGAGAAATAAGATATGATGAGATGCAATGAAAGTATCATTACCTGACTCGCACAGGAGTAGAGAAAGACGCGCGGCCCCACATTATATGTCGAAGCTCCTCGCCAGTCATACCTCGTTTTCTCAGCTCGTTTATCGTAACTTTTCCGACTCGCTGCAAAAGTGCGATACATGAAAGCAAAGAAATAAAATTAAAACGACCGTCGTACATCACAATGCAGCTTATTCACGTTGGTTTTATAAACAGAAATTGACGGATTAAAAAAATTTTAATCATTATTATACGTACAAATGAATGTTTAATCTCTTTAAATAACATTAATGATATTTTAAATAGCGTTAAATGAAAGTTTTCTATATGTTAGAGAAGGCATGCAATTTGATGAATTATTGAAATCATTAATTTTTAATTTATTTTAGGGTAAATACTTCGCGTAGTTATTCTATTGTGACGAAATTTATTACATCGTAGCAAAATTTGATGCGTGCATTTTACGAGATTCGATACCAGAATCCATATCAGTTGAATGGAACGCCGATAAATAAATTCTGACGCTTGATGCACGGGTGTGGAATAAATCCTGTATATACGCATCGCCAGCGCGCATATGCACGGAAAAAAAGAAAACTAAATATAAATAAATAAATCACCTTCCAATTAGCTACGGCGCCCTTACGCTGCTTCGCTTTGGTTTTTGATTTGCTTTTAATAACGAGCACGCCTCTCTGCTCTGATGCGGGATTGTTCGGATCGTCGCCGGGTCCTAGCTTGATGCTGTATTCTTGCAAATAATTATGAGCGTCTTTTTGAGATACGGCACGTTCCAGAGACACCACAATTTTCGCCCACTTAATGTAGAACAAAATTACACGTATTTATATGTAATTGAGCAAGCAGATGCAAGATTTTTTTATGTAATCCGTATTCGTATAATAGCTAAATGGATCACGTTTAATATTAAATACAATTTTTGTGCGTATAACAGCTAACAATACCTATATAAAATTTGACTATTTCAATTTTTCACTCACATAGTGCATATGTTTCAAATTTAACATTTAGCATCAACAATTTTTTTTAATATGGCATTCGCAAATTTGCATCGGTTGTATTGGAAAATTATTTTAAAACTATTCAACATGGGGAAAAAAATTCAGAAAAAACAATGAATATTTTTCGTAGATATTAAATTTTAAGAATTGTGAATTATTTAAATTTGACAAACCTGTTTGACAAATTCCTTTTCGCTTTGCTCGATAACGTGCGCATATGTATTGCCCATCATGGCAATCAACATGTTGAGCAGCAGAATGGGTACAAGCACCATAAAAATCGCGAAGACAGTCTTGCTCAAGTTAGGATAGATCGTGTTATTCAACTCCGCGTACTGCAATACATGCGAACAATGTAAGTGTAATGGGATAAATATAACATCGATGAACCTTTGCGCGTGAATATTGTGCGATATTTATAGATATACTATACTCTGTTAAAAAAAGCAACTATACGGTGCTCAATGTTGCGTGTCCGCCGTATGGCATAGAATTTTCAAACGAAAACTCGTATTTTCAATACTTCATATCTCTCCTCTCCGATCTCTCTTCCCTTCCCATGTGCTACCCTCTTTTTAATTCAGTGTAACGAGTTAATCGTTATACGAACTGCAAACCGAGCAATGATTTTTACCCGACATATAATATATTTTACACATCCGGTGTCCATTTGCGTGGACGCGCGCGACCGGCGTGCTAAATCTTTAATTTCGTCAGGAAACTATATTGTAGTGTGTTTTGTGCAACGTAGAATTGTCCGTGATTGAAATTCACGATTCATGGCGGCGTGGCCTGACACGCCATTGACTGGAAAAATATTTGAAATGATATAAACGCGTACGCGTGACATTTAATCGCGATTCCGATGCATACAACAATTAAATTAATGTTACGTAATGCTTTAAAATCGGAAATTTATTCGAGACGCAAAAACGAATTAGACGATGAGTCAATTCATCTTCAACGCGAAGAACAAAAATTTCAAAAATATATCTTACTTCTGCAAAAATATAGACGCATTAGGCAAATATTATATTGCACACCAGACTGCACAGGCTAAGAGGAAAAAGTGAAAGGAACGAGAGGGTGTACAATGTACGTGCATGCATGTGTGCTAGATAAAAGTAGTTCGCAATAAAAAGTGACGTGTCAATAAAACAGTAATCTGGAAAAGCTTATAATATTATTACGTTACGTTATAATCGCCGAGGGTTATCTGAAATAACGCCATCCAGGTCGAAGGGTAAGAATGATAGAGAGATGATTTCACGCCTGGGAATCCCTTGTAGAGAAAGTAAAACGATTGCGAGAATCCGAAGAGAAAGATTGTGTAGATTATACCAAAGGTCAGCATATCTCCGGTTATCATGCTGTACACCATTGTGACAAATGGACCGGTCAATCGAATTGCTCTAAAAAAAAAGATAATATGAGAAATATATAGGTATCACAAATGATACATATATAGAAGAAATTAAAATATACATTTTTTAAATATTGTAAAAATGTATATAATAATACGTACACACAAGAATTCTTTTCTATATATTGCAATAAGAAGTTGATGTTCAAGAAGACAATCAAGTGTGACAAAAAAATTTGTTTGGAGTTTTTTTCGCAATTCATATACATATGTGTATACACTAAATATATATCTATAATATACTAATTTATCTTGTATTTAATTATGTAATTCATACATATTAGCGGTACTAACAAAATTATCATGTGAATGAGGTGTCGCGTTTCATTCAGTAGTATTCACACATCAAAGTCCGGAGTAAATCAATCTATTAACGTCATTGATATTGATTTCACTTCCATGACACAAATATGCGTAATATTATGCATACAAAATCCGTCGTAAAACATTTGCCGATATGATGCATACACATATGTGTGTTTGGAATGCATTATAATTGCATCTCTCTAATCCGGCAAAATAATATGCTTTTTAGTTCGCACGTGCCAATTGTCAAAGTCAAACTGAAGTACCATACTATAAACAAATTGACGTGTATCTTTTTCTCTCTCTCTCTCTCTCTCTCTCTCTCTCTCTCTCTCTCTTTCTTTACGGTGCACACGTAATTAATACATTTAATTCTAAGTATACAATACTAGTGTACAATAGTTCTTGGTAATCTTATATGATATAATTTTATTTCTTACTATAATAAATAGCGTCTATCTATGAAAATAATGATTTGCATTCGCCAGAATGAAATAACACTTATAGAAATGACTTTTGATAACAAAATGTTCAGTTAACAAGTTAAAAAGTGCATGGCTTCGAACACTTGATATCAGAGTTCAGTGTATCGCATGTTATCGCGCTTCCAGTAGTATCCGGTCCGATAACACGAATAGGTCAGGCACGAAAAGTGCCTGTGCAGCTATTCGGCGTGCATATGTAAACTTCTTACACGCAGCTCAAATTTATAACGCAGTAAAATAATTAAATGCTAATAACTCCAGCTAGCAGAGAAAGTTAAATATATATTATTGATTAACTTGAAACAATCGAAATCTTGAAATAATCTTCATTTCCATAAATATTCTTCTTATTCCTACAAGATTTTTTATTAATCACGCATTCACATATATTATGTATATCTACATATGTGGAAAAAAATTAAATTATGACTTTATCATTAATTTCTGACTCTTAACTATTAAAAGCTGTTAAAATATCTTTATATTATAACGCGCGAATAATTAAAATTATTATTACATGTCCTAGACGTGCATAAATGAATTTCGATAATGACGTTATGAAAATGACATGGCTAAATTGAAAAAGAGAAAATTCATTACATAGTATGTAGAGCATTTAAAAGTCTTTTTTTTTATCAATAACGCTATGCTCACAGTGAGAGGAAATTTCATTTTAAGTTAGCGTATTACTGATTGCGTTAACTTTATAATACTCCAACGTAAGTAAGTTACGACACTTTCGTTATCGTAAAGTTGGAATCGCGACTACTAATATAAAGCAGACTTCGAATAAAGTATTAGCGTATTATACTCGTCGACATTGAAGCAATTTATATGGAGAAATTTATTTCAACATAATCAATATCGCCCAATATTAACCAAATTTCCATATATCCTATTTATAATAATTATTACTAATTATTAATAATTTTTTAACAATTATAATTATTAATTATATATTAAAATTAGAAAAAATATAATTTACAAATATTTTAATTTTAGCTAAAAAAAAATATAGTAGATTATAGCTTGTATAAAGTATTTTTCTTTTTTTGCCAAATTTGATATAAAAAATCCTTTACACTTTTTCGCCTGTCATTTGTTTGTACGTTTTGAGAACTGCGCATTTGCGCAGGTACAATTACAGTAAACAAAATGAAAATACGCATCGGTAAAATCAAAACGATACGTAATCCGAGATTCGCGGCATCCGACGTATCATATGCGAGTACAATGGGGGTGGAAGCCGGAACTGCGGATCGGAATCGCATAGGACGAGCGATTAAAATCGATGCCGTCACCATCGACACGAGAGAACCGGCAACGGAAAACAAAAGCTTTTTAATCCCGGCGTCGTATCCGACAAATTTTTCAGATTCGTCATTCGACCGGGATTAAGATTGAAGAGGCTCGCGCGAAAATGAACGAATGTACGAACACGATTCGAACCAGCGCAGCGGCGTGATCGACGAATAACAGCGGAAAAGGGAGCATCGATCGAGTCTCCATTAACTCCGGACGACGACGTCGTCGGTCGCTCGGTTCTACCCTCTTCCGCTAATCGATGGCTGACCTTATCTTGTCAAGGGTTACCGACGCCCATAAATCTTCGCCCTTTTTCACGGAGTAAGTTCAAGGGAGGCTACAGCCGCGACAGAAAAGACACTGGGACCACCCGATATATGTATATATATATATATATATATATATATATATATATATATATATATAACTCGGCCGGAGTTTATAGCAAGAGCGCAGTATAAGCGATGCAACTTGGATGAGGGATATAACGTCGTTGTGTTCCGGGTATCGTGTATACGTTGTCCCGGGAAAATCAATAGGGACGCCGACTTCCGCTCGGCAAACAAGTTTCCGCTATGCAAGTCTTCCTCGCTATACTTTCAACAAAGTTTCAGAAAGAAGAGCGCCGTATACTTTCTGCCTTTCTTTTTCTCCTCCCTCGTGCAACTGGCTCGGGTAATTATACCGGATTAATACCAGACGAGCCACCGTATCCATCTGGCGATGATGGATTAAAACCAAGTATTCGCGATTATTGCAGCTATAATCAATATCCGAGTTATACGAGCGAAACTTCAAAAATTAGTTTATTTTTAATTATTTCTTACATTTAAAGAGACCGCGTATCTTGGGCTATCATATAAATATATGAATAACATCCATATATATTTTGATAACTAATTTGGATAATTTTCAATCAATTTCCGCATTTATTATTCATACAAAATATGACTTAATAGGAAAATAAGATTTTTTTAAATACTACAATTTTAGAAGTAGAAAAAATGGCATAGTGAATGATGAATAATATTGTGAGAAATTATTGCACAATTTTACTTTTGATGCTCTAATTCTCAACATAAAATAAGTCTGATAACAATAATGCTTAAGAGATAAAGAGCCGACTACGTTACCAAGTTTCCGCATATATAAAGTGAAATATGCACATAATATATTTTATTGATTGAAAGCTACGTAAGATCCGCGACGTGTAAATACTATTCATCAGAATCCTCTTTAGACTCCAGTCGTCATTTCGTTTAAGTATATGTGCAGTAATTCCTCAAAGGCTCCCGCGCACTCGGTGCCACGATGTTTCTTGTCCTCCATCACGGCTGTCGTTCGCTTGGCAATAAGCCACAGTCACGCCTTAGATTAATTTCGCACAAAATTTAACGGGAGTCTGCTACAACCGCCTCTAAAGTTACGGCCTAAGTGCTTTACGATGTACCATTTACGACGGGCCTCCATTTTACGTCTGTTTAAATTCAATATACATTCTTTGCGCCTGCACAAGTTTCATCAACTTCTCTGTATACCTGATAGCCAGCACATTATATCTTCAGAATAGAACATTAGAAAGGAGATACAAGAATCAACATAATGCTCTCTATGCTTATCATTTTTTTTTTTTTTTTTACGCGCTTACTTTAAACTGCAATTCTGAGAATTAAATTTTATAGAGATTTATTTTTTATATTTCTGTATATCGATGTTACGATCGTGATAATTAATAAATAATTGAAAATTAGCTAATATTACTCAGAATGTGTTGTATTCCATTTTCTTCTTACATTTCAAGAAATTTTTACGCGCTTATTTTAAACTGCAATTCTGAGAATCAAAGATAAATTTTATAGAGAGATTTATTTTTTATATTTCTGTATAGATGTTACGATCGTGATAATTAATAAATAATTGAAAATTAGCTAATATTACTCAGAATGTGTTGTATTCCATTTCCTTCTTACATTTCAAGAGATTTTTACGCGCTTACTTTAAACTGCAATTCTGAGAATCAAAGATAAATTTTATAGAGAGATTTATTTTTTATATTTCTGTGTAGATGTTACAATCGTGATAATTAACAAATAATTGAAAATTAGCTAATATTACTTAGAATGTGTTATATTCCATTTTCTTCTTACATTTCAAGAGATCGCACACCTTGGACTATCATAAAGATATGAATAATATTCATATATATTTTTTCATCATTTTCACAATAATTAATTCGTGCATTTATTTATTTATTCATATATAAAAAATATGACTTTTAATATTTAAGTACTACAATTTTCAAAGTAATTGTAATTTGATACTCAAACTTAAAACATTAGATGCAGAAAAAATGAGATAATGAATGATGGATACCTAATATTGCGAGAAATTATTGCAACCAATAATAATGATTGCCATTAACAATAATGATTAAAAAGTCTTATACGAAAGCATTTAAAATAAAAAATCCTTCACTAGAGAAATTTGATAATATTATGAGAGATAAATATCGTTGCAAAAACGATCATTGTGCAATTTGTAGGAAAGTAGAAACAACTAGTAGATTGATAATTTCTCGTATCTATCGAAATATGACGACACATCTTAGATATTTACGTGCGCAGTCAGATTGCAGCGGAAGAAATCGAGAAGTTTGTCGAAAGAAGCAGCTGCAATCCGACCATGCAGTTTTCAATGTCGATCACGTAGCTTTGATATCACGTATTAGGAACGTATAAGCACAATGCGAATGCACGTCCTGGCCTCTCAATAAACGATTTGTCCCATTTTTCGCGGGAGTATGTCCGACAGGTACGTCGACATTCGTCAAAGTGTCGTTAAGTAAGAAAACGTTTGTGAGAAGCGTGTTTCTTCGCGAGTAACAGACGAAAGGAAGCGAATTCACGACTTGTGAAAGTTCTTTTCCATCGCAACGAAAAATTCCGGACGGAGAATCTTTTTTTGTAACGAGTTATGATGATTTGCGGAGAAGTATATTTAGATGAAACGTAAAAATAAATAGATGTATTGCGGTCAAATGTAATGAATTTATAATGACAAACGATATATGTATTAGTGTTTAAGAGAAAATAATAATAAATTACAATATAATGAGAACATCATAATAAAATTTGTTAACAGGTATTAAATATTGCACAAGCTTTTTCCGAAAAATGTAAAATTTCCACAAATCGGATTATCGTACATTTATAATAGAATAATGCATGCTAATAATACCAAACATTTTGTTAAAATAATCTGCATAGAGAGAGAGAGAGTGAAAGAGAGAGAGAGAAAATATATCCTTTTATAAAAATAGAAGTACGTTTTTTTCAACTCTGCCCTCGATACTCTGTTATATTTTTTCCCCTCGCTAATTTACTATATTTAATCAGTATCCCTTTTTACGGATTATGTAAAAATATCCAATCACGATTTTTTCTACATTGCGTATATGTAAAATTCTCCGAGATAAAAATATATTATTATAAATTATACTCGAGCACGAAGTATACATTATATAAATTGTACATTTGTGGCGTGTTGCGGAAGAAAAAAAATCCACTCGGTACTCAGTCCGGTAAATTGACAAACACGTGGCGGTTGTCAGACGTTAAAATGATGCGTAAAACAAACGCGGTGGCAGCGAGGTAACGAATGTGTGACCCGGTCGCGCCAGTAAATTGCAAACACTTTAATTTTGCGGCGACACCCCTCTGCTGTCCTCCCTTTTCTCTTTCCTTTTTTTTTTTGTTTCTTATGCGCGTTTTTGGTATATATTATTACTTACCCGGCGAAAAACATGAGAAGAAACCACGAGCCCGGTACGGCGAACACCAGTATCGCATCCTCCGCGTGCCGATTCTCGGCGATACGACATGGAATGCACGCGAGAATGAGCAGATTGCTGATCACGAATATCAACTTGGCCGGTTCGGTGCTCTGAAATGCAAATGCGCGCAGGCGAAACGTTAGTGCGACCGCATGCACTCTTGCAACGTTTCAGGAACGTCCGCAGAGGAATCGATATTTTCATGCAATTTCGATACTTCCTTATGATTCGACTGCTGCATCATCACGATGACAATACCTAGACCCGAGATTTGCTCGATGTCTACGATGAAAATGAACGTATATCATCTGACTGTGTCTGTACAAATATTATTTGCTCAATTTTACATTAATCGGAAAATTAAAACTTGAGGAGAATAAAATAAATAGATCGGTTTAACACATATAAAAAATTTAAAATAACTTTCTATACATGTATTATATGTTTTTTAAATATTATATTATGTTTGTATGTTTGTATGTGCAATCAGATATATTATTTTTGTCCATTTAAATATCGAGGAAGTTATATAAATTGTTCGACAACGAGGCTCGCGCGTTTTTAAATCGTCGCCGGTATTAATTATACACAAATCGAACCGGATGCGTAGAGTAGAACTCGCGTTTAATAATGCAACGATATAGCTTAATGTCGTTCCGATTGTATTGGAACGGAGCGGCGTATGTATGCTATTGATCCAGCACCGGCAATAACCAACGGTATGTACATATATGTACAATATATTCTCTCTTAATTGATAGATGTGGATAGATAGCCGATAGGCACGCACGCCGATATTTTTCATATTTTTTTCGCGATCTCCGCGAGAATCCTTGACTCGAGAAGAAATACACATGGCATACATGTAAATTATATCGCATGTGTCGCATATATATTTATACATCAATATATTTTAGTTATAATTTCTTTTAGAAGATATCGATTTTTTATAGTGTAAAAGAAAAAGAAAAGAATTTTCATTAAAAGCCGTATTCTTTATAATTTGTCAGAAAAAATCCATTTTTACTAGCGAGGACACGCATCGAAATATCGCCTCTATCGAAAATGCTTTTAACGTAATCAATCATTCATTGCTGGCAGGATCTTCAGCCTGAGATTTCATTTTTTTACGATACCATTCAATTGTAATATGATATCGTGCAAAATAATAAAATTATTCAATCCTTTCAAATAGTGCATTTTTACGAAATTTGTCACATTTAATATAACTATATTTAACATGGATTTATCGCGAATCTAATAAACAAGAGAATTAACTTGTCTTTTCACATTTTTAATTTAATAAAAACTCTTTTAAAATATATATATATATATATATATATATCGTTTCTGATTATATCACATCGCGTTTATAAAGCCAATAAAGAAAAAAAGCAGGAAAGGCCAGTTGTTAATATCGGTACCGCTATACCGTTATATGTAACGCTCCCGTAATCATCGACCCATCTTTTTCTTATTCATCGGGCTTATTAACGCGTAAAAGATTAGTGGCACGAACGTACAGCTTCCATCGTGGAATATACCTCGATACATTCATAGATCCGTTACAGTTCACTAGCCTCGGGATTTGCGCAACCAGCCGCGTTTAGCCGGCATTGGCGCATCGAAATTGCACCGTTGAGAGTATCAGAGTATTGCGAACCATCACGAAACAACGGGACGTTTCATGATCGGGAGAAACGGCAAAGATGATGCAGCGCCGATCAGGAAAGCATCAGGGACGTTTTAACTGATTTAAAGGAATTTCGGATATTGTCTTACGTGAAACATTTATTGTGTAAAGAAGAGGATCATTTATAATCCATCAAACCAAATGTTTGACAACACACAATGATGATCCCTACAAACATTTTTTCTCCATTTTTTTGATCAAAGTTCATTTATTTCAAAGTCTCAAATTCTAGCTCCGATTTGGATATTTCTCGTGCTGCATTTAATGTGACACAAAAATTTGAGTAGTATCCTACAAAGAGAGAATTTTCTCTTAGAATTTGAAAATCATAAAAAAATCATAAGATTTCTCTGATTAATATTTATCACAATGAAAAATATTAGTATAATGATAAATTTTACTATATGTACATAGTAAAACTAATCGAACATATTTTATATCATATTGTGGTAGATTTTAATATTTTTCATTGTAGTAAAAATGAATCCGAAAAACTTATAAAATTCTTTCAATACCATATTGTTCCCATGATTTACCATGATTTTCAAAATCATGATAATCGTTCGGAAAAAATATTAATATGTATGTACATAGTAAAAAAAATCATTATATTTTTTATACTAAATATTTTTGCCCAACACACGATTACCATGATTTTTACGATATAAATTCTAAGATAAAATTCTGTGCAGTATCGATCCGTCTGAATTATAAATCTCTTGGACTCAAATAGTGAAACGTCCCTGACGGCTAGTTCGCGGTAAAAAAAAAAAAAAAAAAAAAAGTGCTCACCAGTTGTTTGAGGAACGACAGCGGTCCGACGTTGATCATCTCGCCGCCGAGTTGCACCAGGATGTAATTGAGCACGCCCAGGACGGTGATGCACTCCGCCGCGGTGCGGACGACGTCCGTTATCTCTTCGGGCCACTGCAGCAGCACGGCATCCACGTCCGCGGGTCTGAAGTACACGGCTAAGGACAGCGAGGCCAGGTGAAACACCAAGATAATCAATCGCTTCAGGAACTGCAACTTTTCAGCGGAGAATAGATGTTGGCGTATGCATCTACGAAACTTTCCGCATCGATTGGCCGGGACATAAGAGCAAAGTTTTACGGGCGGTAATATAGAGAGAGACGGGGAGAATTCGTGAAAATATCATCGGTCCCGAGGCTAAGCTCGAAAAGGTCTCTCCGGATACGAGACAAACATATTCGAGATGTGACGCATTTCTGATCTTTTACATATATCTCTTCGGATCGGTCGGAGGTCGTATCTATTCTCGAATCTCGAGTATCGAGATAATTTATGATCCAAAATTAGCCGGTGATATCCGGACCGTCTTCGAGGAATACACGATAAAAATAATTTGTTTCTTTACACCTTTAACATATATTGAACGTCTGTTTCTTCAGCATAAAGCGTCAATTCTTAACGCGAAACAAAAGTTCCATAGTTATATCGTAAGTGTAATGTATAATTATATTATCGCGCGATAATCCAATTAGCAAATATTGAACGTTTAACGTCTTTCGTTTTATCTTTATTCCGCGTTATCTTGTTTGTATAGTTATAAAGCGAGCGATTGTACGCGCTTCGTTTAACGGATAAAATCGCTCTAACCGAGTACTCCGGGGATTGACTCCGCTATGATCCGATAATAGGGAAATCATAGTCCCGGACGGATACAGTAGCACTGCATATATTGCGTCTACGTGTGGTCCGAGTGTGGCCGTGATTAGTGCCATAAATGGGACACGTTATGGACGCGGTGCAGTTATAATATGCACGATACGCCGGCTCGTCTGCTAGAGCCTTCAACGTACGTACGAAAGCTCGTTTGTGATGCGATCGTAATTGCAATCACAGTCTGCCCGTATAACTTCGATAGCCATCGTTTCAAAATCACTGAGCCACCGTTCGCCCGCGACGGAGTGACTTGAAATAACCGGCGCAATTATACTACCATCGCCGAAAGCCCCATCGACGTCACTCGACCGATCGGTTGATCGACGTTAATCGTTCCAAGTCACGAGAGAAAGAGAAATCATCAGAGATGATATGCGATTATACAGACGCGCAAGCTGCATCGAAACCCCCGTGAAAATTTCATCGCCACGTGTTCCGTTCATTTTTTCGAAACATCGCTTTCTTGCGTTGGTGCGCGTCACTCCTCTTCAAACATTAACGTTTCTTAAATATTTTAAGAATTTTTTTTTCGGAATTGTTGTTTATAAAATTATTTAAAATGATGATTTAATAGCAGAGAATTTTATATTTTTTCAACATTTTAGAGAAGAATTTTATATTCGAAAAAAAAAACTAAAATAAGATATTACCCGATATCTTTCCCTTGTGACTTGAGCTGTTTTTTTTTAAGAACATTATTTATCGATATTTATGGATATATATAGGTGATATATATTCAAGCGACTCGCCTCTTCGATTACATAAAATATGCAAACATTTGAAAAAGCATCGCGATGTAAATCGATCATATTTAAAATGGTCACGTAAAGAGATTTCTTAAAATGTGACTTGATGATATTTAAAATTGGCTTTCAGTATAATAATAAATATATATATATATATCACCAAATCTCCAAATGCATATATATATATATACATGTGGAACATTCTTATCACTGATAGATTTTTTGACAAATGTAAAATCCGTATATCTTGATCTCATTAGGATACTGTTTAAATGGATAATTTTTAATATATTATACAATTTAAAGTAAACTTATATAACTTTTTTATATATATGTACGTTTCACATTTTGTTCGATATTATTTGTTGAGAAGATTCTGCTTAGAAATTATTTGAAAAAAATTATCAAAAAAGTACACATTATTTGATGAATCATTTAATTATTAATATACTTATTATTATAAAATACTACTAAAATACTATACATGCAGATGAAACATGCAAAATGCAAAAATATAAAACTGAGAGGGACTCTGAAAGAAGCAACTCTTATTTTAGCGTATTGAGTTATATACAGAACATAGGAAGAAAAGAAATTTTCTTTTGTTAACACTAGAAGAACTAGTTCTATGAATAGTTGTATGACAAGTTGTATCCAATGGAATTATAAGCTCTGAAAAGAGCTGCCTACGTTTGGTGGAAGCATAAGATAAATCCGGAATATCATAATGTCAGACACATTGTCATAAGATTATTTTATCTCCCTAGCACATGCACAAAAACATGCATAAAAAGACGATATTTCTTAATTTTGATATAGAAATATGTCTGATACTACAATTCGAACTACTTTCGGTGAGAAGACTACTTATTATTTTTCAGGTCTACTATTTTATCCCGAAACAATATGCAAAAAAATGAAATATTCGAAGTGGCAGTAAAAAGTGGAATTAATAAAAGAAAAGAGACCTTTCGGTGCAAGACGCGCTACGTGACATTCTATCGTTACAAACAAAATCGCAGGTCATTGTCTGGCAAAGTCAAGCATAAAGGCGACGAGACGTTGAAAAAGTTGGAAATATAGTAACGTCTTATAATTCAACGAGAAACGAGCGGGAACGCCATCACGTGGACGCACTTACTCGCGCGAAGGTCTTCCATTTTTCCTCAAGTAATCGCTGAATAATACCACCGTCCAGCATGTCCAAGTGCTCCTCCTTCGTACCGTTCAGAATGATAAATAGCGCGGAGTTCCAGTCTGAAATAGAAATTCGGAGAGAGCCATTTGCGGTTAATGGAACATCGCTTTAGGGTTTGCGCCGCGATAATTATGGGTTTTGCATTAGTGAGCGTGCATACAGCATTGTGGTGTATACAGGTGCAGGTTGCGCCTTTTCGACATTCCTCTCCCGCTCTATGCCGCATCCGGCACGAAACTTTTCCGCCGCCGCGCCGTATAAGATCGGAGGACCGAAAAACTTTCGGTGTCATTAACGTTTCATTCGGCAATGTCCACGTAATCACCGAAGAAACGAAAAATATTCATGCATTTGACGTGCGTGCACGAGCAAACATCCGCGGTTGACATTTTAATGTTTTGAACACGGTCTTATATACAGGTCAGGACATTCATTCGAATAAAGTGTATAAAAAAAATCTAATATGGCCTACTGTCATATTATAATATATTTCGCTATTTTTAAATAATTTAATAAAAATTATTCTTAATATTTAATATTTGTTTCGACGATTTTTAACCGTGTTTATTTTTTACATTTTTTCAATTGTGCACAAGATCTAACACAAAACTGTCAAAATAAAAAAGTCTACACTGGCGCACATTGAATAAATCAGCCTGAATTGGCAGTAGTCATATTAGTTACATTTTGTTACGCTTGACAGCATATGTAGTCTATATAGAAGTGTCCTGACCTGTATATAAGACATCGATTTTGATAATCGATTTTAATGAAACATTTTAACGGAATCGATATAATACGTCTTTCGCTTTGTCGAATCGCGCCGTGCATTATTAAGCGCAACGTTCATGTGCACGTTACTAAGAGTCTCGGTTGTGTATATATATATATATATATATATATATATATATATATATATCGATCGTATGCATCTGTCGTCGCACTTTGCTCGGCTTTGGCGCGAGCGCTAAAGTAATTGGAACTTGGAGGATTGTATCCTCGGGAGTCCTTAATTACCGCTCGACACGGGCGAAGGTGCACACGGTAGCTTGACCCGTCAAAAACATTGTTCCCCCGCTTTGCAGCTTGTCTAGTATTACATATTATATATATATTTTAAGCTACTTCAATATTGTATAATATATGACCCGCGTTATGTGATTTTCTTTCATTTATATATATATATAAAATTTTCGAGAAAATAAAATAGTGAATGGAAAAAAAATATTTTAGTAGATCTCGAGACGGAGTTATAAATTTTGATAACAAATACGCGGTGTATATGCAGAGAATTTTGCACTGCTCCAAAGGTGAAATAATGATATATTTATTAATTCCACGAGATAGAGCTTGTGGGATTTCACGCAGACCGCGCGCACGTCCGATGTTAATGCCAATATCTTCGATCATCCGGTCTTCAATTTTGCATGATGGCTACTGATCGACTAGCAAGCCGGCGAAGTTACTAACGCGTATCTGTTACCGCAGCACGTAATTATATCTGACTTGAGAGTACGCAAAGCCATATAGTTTTCCCCGAGTTTCCCTCAGAGTATACCCTCTTGGCTACTATCTAGTAACCTCGGTCGGACATTGAACCGAGCTTAAATAACAAAGTATCACTTCGGGCATTCCATTTCCTCCGATCGGCAATAATTATTTTGAAGAACTGATCTCGCGCAAAATTAATCGGAACGTATCTTCGAAGTAAGATGAGATATTTAAATTTGTATAATACAAAACAGATTCCTTTAAAATAATAATAAATTTAAATTTCAATTATATTCGAATTAAAAATAAATAAGTTTTTAAGTTATTTAATATAAAAAGCAAGCTACAAATCTTTAATAATGCGAAATTTTCGAGATTACGGGATTATGTATAAATTTGATTCTACGCCGAGACAATTAAATTATATTCAATTACACTGTAAAGAATAAATTTATTGCTAGAATTTACTTTATCTGAAAGATAATCCTTTATTTAGCTTGCTCTTTTAGGATTTGCCACCATTTAATTTCTAAGGCTCTCTATTATTGCCATCGTGATAAAGCCTGCGATATGCGACTCTGTGCTAGATGTTCTCGAAATAGACATCAGCACACCTCTATATTTCTCTCGGGTCGACAAGTCGATAGGTTCTGGTATCGAAGTTAAATAATAGAAGAGAAAGAAGTTCCGTGACAGCTCAACAGATAATTAAAATCGTATTGGTGTCTACCGGGTGTTAGCAAGTTCTAAAGCAATTTTTTTTTGCCAAAAATTGGGTTTATATTCCATGTTTAGTACTGAGAAAATTAAACGAATTAAGCACACAAGTGTAAATAAGCAAAATTTTCGCGTTTATCATCAATGTTGAAATAGTTGGGCTATATTCTGTGATAAAAATATATATAATGTAATATATTCCAGAACTAACAATATACTTAATCTATTAAAAATGTGTGTTTTATATATGTACATCAATAAATTTTATAATGTTTATAAACGGAATACCCTATATAGACCCTATAGACAACTGTTATCGATACATTCGCAGAAATTTTGAAATTTAATATTTGTACATGTGAGTTCTCTATATATATAGTACCATATAGCATCTATAAATATAAATACCGACAGATATGTATAACAAAATAAAGAAAATAGCTTTGTTGACATAATTTTTCGCTCTTTTCATAATGCACGCAACTCCATAATCCTGCTTTCTATTCGGACAAAATATAACAAATATAATTATATTAACATACTATAATAAAACCAAGTTTTACATGTACAGTTTTCGTTATAAAGTAAAATGCAAGGATTTATGTGAGGTCGTTTATCTAACCACTAAAAGTTAAAAGATTATAAATTTTACCAGAGAATGCAACTAATTTAATGTTAAATTTCAGTATTAATTTAGAGAAAACAGCGAAACGGCATATTTCTTTCACTCGCATCGTAGAAAGTAATTACTTTTCTATAGCCGAGAAATTCTTTATAATTGCGCATATTCTTTTAATAATATTCCTAGAATATATTTTTTGCACATACTCTCTAAATATAAATGTCAATGCACTTGAAAATTAAATATGTAATTTTAAAGTAAAACAAAATATTTTATACGATCGCAAGTGGAATATTTTTGCTCTCGCATGTGCAATTTTCGCAAACTCGTTTGCACTTGAGAGCTGCCGGAGTTTTCTATGGCTATGGCGTCGCTTACATGCGAAAAAAGTCTGAAATAAAAGTTTGTGCGACATGAAAGAGGGCAAGCGTCTTAACGATCGCACACATCAGAACCCCTGTCCCCGGCCCAAGAATATTGTAAGCGTCTCAAAGTCTTAGTGTGACGCCATGACGTTTACACGCGATTAACATTGTCGTATGATTTTTCACAAGTTAATCGTGTCGCACGTAAATTTACATAAACATAAAGCATATAATAATCTCGATCAGCAAAACGTCTAGCATAAACTGTCCGTGATGCGAAAGTTTTGTAACTTTTATTCCGAAAGTTTTCGCAACTTTTTCTCGATATACTCACACATGATCACATTTTAATGCTCTTATTTATATATATATATATATATATATTATCAGTGCGTATTTTTACATGCCGCGCAGAGAATTAATCCGTGGATGATTGTGTCGTGAAAAATGACGGCGCAAATTGCGCGTCCCGAAATTGCGTGGTCTTTTTTCTGCAGTGCAGATATGATAGCGGAAGTTACACGAAAATAACATTTCCCGCGAGTGTTGCACACGCTTGCGACGCAAGTCTCGGATTAAAGCGGAAGAAAAACGTCGACAAGAGAGAGCGTCGACGAGGGGAATGGAGCTTTTACACTAGAAGCTCGATCTTTGACCGTCGCCTCTCTTCGAAGCTTTTTTGGCCAATCGCCACCACCCTTTAACTCTTATTCTTCCGACTTGGTTCTTTCCGGCTCTTTCTTTCCCTCTCGCTTTCTCGTTCTGGCCTTGGTTTTAAAGTAATTAAGGAGATGCTGCTGCAGTTCTGTTTTACCGACTTTAAGTTAGATTAGGTTCACTTTTTATTGAATATACAGATTGAAAAATCCTTCACAATGAAAGTACTGATAATAATGAATGGGGAGCGCTGTCCTGCAACTAATTTTTGCTGTTTTATGCCTCGACATCGATTCCGCACGCAAATATATACATACATAATTAATTCAAGTACGAATCTTTTGATACAGGCTTTTAATCTCATTTTTATTACTTCTGTATTATTCTTTCATGTCATCTCTATTGGGAGCGCCATATTTTGTGCACAAATAAACTGCAGAACTTTTGTATTAAATAACTATTGTTATGAGCTGATGCAAGAGACCGATAAAAAACTGTAATTTTTTAACTTTTATTGTTTTTGCGAAATTACAGCAATCCCCGTTCATTATTATCAGTATCTTTAATTGTGGAGAAGGATTTTTCAATCTGTACAGCTAATAAAAAGAAAAGTCCTTGAACTCAAAGTCGGTAAAACAGACATGGTCAGCATTCGCTTAAGTCTGTAGAAGAGAAACTTGTCGAAAATTCGACTCGGCTCCCTATAAGACCGTCTTCTCGAGGTTACTTTTCTGGGGTGTACCCCATTGTCATTCTTTGCAAGAATCGGAAAATAGCCGCATTACGAGAGGGAGCAAATAGATATAGAAGGAGCGAGATCGATGGGATAATGGATTCCGAAACTAAATGAAACGCGTCACACCGCGCTGCGTCGGGTCCGCAGCTAATCTCGAAACTTCGTTAAATGCCCGTAATTGCATCCCGCTACGAGCTTCCAGGCATCGCGCACTTCGCGATATTCTTACTCGCGAATAGCCCGGGAAAACCCGCGCGCTCACGAACGCATCCATTTCTCGCGGCAACGCTTTCCGTGTCTCTGCCGCGAACTTCGATACAATTTCACGCAAGTTTGATCGAGGAGGTAGCTCCTAAAATACGGACGCACCATGCGGCAACATGAAATTCTCTTTTATCCCTATTTCGTTCTATACGGTTCTTTGTAGCGAATTCGGTGACATGATAAAGGGTAAGCTCGAGGGTAAAATCAGATTGTGTCACCTCCCTGGACAGAATGTTCCAACGGGGATACCATCGGTTCGCGCTCGTCAATACGTACTTGTAAAATCGTTTTTACTTCGAAACGAATCAATTCGAAACACCTTTTCGTCTGCACACGAACATATATTCTATAATATATATCTTATTTTTATGAATATTAAAATGTAAAAGAAAAATTGAATTTTATATCTATGCGACAAAAAGTGTAACGAAAGAAATAAAAAAAATTGCAATAACCTCTTGTTGAATTGTTTTTGGATTATTTGTACTGATTCTTGTCATTGAAATTGCGACTTTTTAAGAAAAAAATTTGTCACGGTAATCAAGCAGAAACGCGTTAATAAAAGTTAAGAAAATGTATAATAATTTCTCAAATTAAAATTTATTATATACATACATAATTAAATCGTTTATATAAATCCGATCACAAATTATATCGCTGCAATTTATATCATGTTTCCTAAAAACATTTCATTTATCTCGCCGGATTCCAATTAAATGAGAAATCGACTTCAATTCGAAATTACCGTCAAAATAGGAAAATATCGATGCGATAACGATGGCGAAAGGGATTGCGATAACGAGCCAATATTTCAGCCAGTTTTTAGCCGGCGAATTGCATGTTATATCATATGCAATGTCGCGAAAAGTTGCTAGCAGTATGGTTTACTATCCGGCTGCGACACACGTTCGACGTGTAAGAAAACTTTGTAAAATTTCTTTTTTCCCTTAAGAACTTTGCAACCCGATTTTGCCCTCGATTTTGCCCCGGTATCCAATTTTACGGGAGAAGATAGTCCCTTCTTGTTCTCGGTATATTAGTCCTCTTCCTCTCGCTCGCTACCTTCTCCACTCCTGTCGCTGACACTCGCGTCACAATTTTTGCTCTATCCCCGCCTTCTTCTTGTTGGATGCTTTACACGAGAGACAAACCGTATGTTGGAAACCGTGAGGACAACTTTACATAGCGCGTATGATACAGCGTAAAGAAAAAAAAATTCAGAGCGGAATAATTTACCGAATATTTCGAAAACCTTTTTGACGAAATATCTCGTTCCTAACTTAAAATATATTGTAATATTCGAGAGTATGTGTGTGTATATATATATATATATATATATATGTGAAAAGCAAGAGAAGCTAGGGGAAGATACCTAGTAGAATAGAGTACTGATTTATTTTATATCCAAAAGAACATAAGCTCCTTCGAAATACACAATATAATATATAAAGAAAAAATATAGAGAAAAAAGAAAAATAATAAATATAAAAAAAATAAATATCTCAAAAATAGGTCTGTAGTATTAAGAATCAGTCAACTATACTCGTACTACAAAGATATTGCATAAAATCTTGTTGAAATTAGGAGAATCAAAGAAGAATTGCGTAAATCTGAAGAAAGATTTCTCTCAGCAAGAAGTGCTATATAAGGAAAAACTCAATTTCTCTAGAGCAAATAAAAACAAATTGAATTTTGAAACATGAAAGGACTGAAAGCAAAAGAGAGGAGAAAATAGAGAAATAAATGCTATATAGAATAGATAAAAGAAGAGCAACGAGTGATGCAGTGTCGCTACGATGCTAATATTACTATTCGGCCTTGACTCGTCGCAATTAGTTGGGGAACATGCGACAAAGTGAGGACCCACTTGAAGGCGCACGATTCGGTGAACCGTGAATGACGATTCTCGTAGAATCGTCTTGGCATAATTCGATTAGCTTTACGACGTACTTGTTCTGCCGTCTGGTAGCAGCGTGTCGAGGGCATTGAGGGGATACGCCGAGCAGGTGATATTACTGTAACGCCAGAACTCCCGCGCGGACAGTTCCAGCATCTCACGGAAGACTTCGGCACGCCCAAGCTGGCAGGCGAGTGTCAACGGGGTGAAACCAGAAGCATTCACGATTCCGTTGCGAGCAGGAAGCTTTGGATGTCGCAGAGCATATCCGAACATATCCTACGTCAAACAACGGTTCTCCATTCTCTATTCTATTGGAAGATGTAAATTCTCGTTTTCGATTACTATGAGACGGAGTCAAAATCTATGTGAATAACATGAGTGGAGTCGGAAAAAAATTTTAATTTCAAATTTATTCAGAAACTGTAAAAGCTGTAAATATATATGCGTGGAATAAAGTTTTTGGAAAAAAATACTACTACTTATGACCAAAAGAGATTTTTCGAAAAAAAGGATATGACTTTGTCTCTTTCGAATACGTGTCCATACGCACCAATTTATCACAAACTACGACCATGTGCAAAATCATATTTCCGAAAGAATCCTGCTCGTCGGGATCCGCGCCGACATCAAGCAGCAGGTTGTAAACGCTCTCGTTGGCGCAGCAGGCGGCCCAGGCTAGCGGGTACTCGCCCAGATACGCGAGTCCCTCGTAATCGGTGTTTCTAGCGGGGTTCATCCTCTGCTGATCGCGCGGCAGGAAAAAGCTGCCGATAGCTCGCTGCGAGATAATCGCGCCCGCGTCCACCAGATCCTGCACGAGCTCGTTATTGAAATAGGCGATCGCCAGGTGAAGAGCGCTCGCGCCAAGATATTCTTCACCCTCCACAACGTCGATGGCGAGTCGCGGGAAGCACTTGAGCAGGATGCGCGCTATTCTGGTGTGGATCCGCGTGTCGCATATGATGAGAACGTGCAGCAGGGCCTCGCCGAGCGAGCCTCTGTACTGCATCTGCCAGCAGGCTTCATGATCGTTCCACTGCGCTAGTGGATCGAAGCGCGAGAGAGAGGCCTCGATCGGCAGCACGACCTGCTCGAGGTCGCGAAACTTCCAGCGCAGATACTCGGCGCGATTGATCACCTGGCCTTTACCGTCCGCGTACAGCAGAATGCCGAATTGCTCGCGCACCAATTTCTCCACTTCCGGCTGGCCGCCCTGATTATACGCCTCGATCAGCTCGCCGCCCTTCTTGTAATTAGCCAATCGGTACAGCAGGCACTGATCTTCGTTGCTCGCCTGGCTGATCACGCGATCGAGGATCGAGCCGGCGTTAACCTGGCTACCGCGACCAACGCGACACGAGCAAATGCCACCCATTCAGACATATCCCTACGGGAGAAAAGCGCGGAAAAGTGCTATCGCACCTTCGTCATGTCCACCTGCCTCGTCGGCTCCTTATCAGCTAAAGGAATCGCCCGAACGGAATCTCACTCGAGGGTCTCTAGACGTTCTCAAGGTCGGACAGCGCGCCATTTCCGTCACGATAAAGCGAAAAGCCACTTGGCCGTATGGCTACTCACGACTGACTCCATTGATATAACACTCGAGATTCTCTTACCCCGACGAGGGCTAGGATAGCACAAGTGGAGAAAGGGAGCGAGAGGGCGAGGGTGCTGGTATATTCGCGCTATAGCAACCGGCCAATCCATAAACGGTACCTGGTGCAGACGGACACGACAGGGTCACCACCACCGCCGCTTTCACGCTACAGTCAATTTGGAAGAGCTTTTTTTTAACGAGTTTATCAGAGGCGCGCTGTGCTAAAAGATGAAACGTCATGAAACATGAAACGTCAATAATTCAGGGTTAAACCGTTCGTTTAGCGCCAATAATTTTAGGCCGATCCGGTTTTCGCGCGATTTGACAGATTGTCGAAGACTCATGACTCATTCGTAATCCACACGTCGGCCTTAACACACTTTCCTGCACCTGGATACGCGCAAATGCTTATTTTTAGGCCAGTTGCAAGGACGAATGCATTATCGCGTAGATAATGAATAAAATAAATGAAAAGAGTGTAAAAAAAGAGATACTCAAATGTAAGTAATATTTGAAAAATGGGATTACATAAAATTGTTCGCTACATACAAACGCGAAAAGCAGATTAACTAGGCGAAATAGTATATAACTAGATAGATGGATGGTATTAATCACTACGATTATTTTTTTTTATTAATTTAATCGAGGTAAAAATATTAATTGCATTTTTTTTTGTATGCAAGCGTTTACATTCAGACCCGGTTTCGCGCTTCATTACGTCCATATTTACGATAGGAATGTTGAAATCAATTTCCCATCCCCCGAATAAAACAGCTACGAGCAACGTGCATCTGTGTTTAAAGCGCATTCGTATTTAACTGAAACGCAGCGAACATTCCATTCCCGTCGAATTGGAACATTGCAATAATACGTATATTGTTACATTGCTGGCATCTAAAATTAGTATTATTTCGCGGCGTTGATGCGCCGCACACAAAATACTGACCTATGAAGAGATTATGACAGCTCGCGCTTAAACGCTTAAAAAACATGCGCGCTATCAGTTTCAGGAAGTTGCAAGATTATTTTTATAGTTTAAGAGCAAATTTCTCTTCGCGAGAAATCGCGCGAATGATTCCGCGTATGGAAACGCGCGATGAAATCCTACGTATGGCGCATATTTCACCGCGGTTGACAAATCACCATTGTCCTCGTTCGACGAATGGTATATAGTCAATGTATTATACGGTCATGCGCTATTGTAAATTGATGCCTCGTCATTCTTCGAATAACTGCGAAAAAAAAAACAGGCATTTTCAATCCAGCGTTTCACCGACAAGCGCCGCCGGATGGATCGAACAGACGTGTGTGGGTGCGGCGCAATAGCCGGCGGATGCGGAATTGCAGGTGGCATGTATTACAATCTGTCGAGTATATCTGATTCATATGCGCGAGGAGTAAGTACCTAAGTGGACACTTTGCGAGCGCTGACATTTAACGCTTTTTCAATTGAAGAATTCGAGCAAGTGTCCGAGGGCGGTGACTGTGACATTCTTGCGAAAATTAATTAATCTCAAGGATGAGTCATCCTACTTTGTATAATCACACATATACGCTCTCGATTTATCATTAGTATTTTTTATACTTTTAGCCGAAATAAAATACAAGTTGTATTTGTATATCGCACAATGTCGAGCTGATGAGTTTAAAATCGGAAACGCGCGCTAAAATAATATTTTGCAGAACATTTGAAATGTCACTCTTGGATATTTTTTACGTTCTTTTATTATTTATTGTTCCATCTTTATAAATGTTCTCGTTTTCGTTCTAAAAATATTTGTTAGTAAAAAAAATAGAATTTTTTTCATTATACACGATAAAATTTCGCGTTCCTAGATTAAAATATTTTCGTTATAAATGTTGTTAAACCATGCGCTTTCATTCACCAGCTCTTTCAATTAATACATTGTTTATGCAATTCGATATGCAAACTCACTTTTTTTCCATTCGTTGGGGAGCAACCGCAACAATACCGTGAGTTTGCCCAACGTGATAAACTTCCAAATTTACACAGGCACGGTGGAATCTAGGGAAAGAGATAACGTTTGGTATCCGTGTGACGTCGTAATATATACAATAAAATGTATTTCCACAAACTGTCATGCGTTTGACAAACGCGAGGGACTTCGTAATATGTTCAATATCTATATATACGAATATGAATGAGAGGATTATCATCGAATGTTGAATCGACGCGAAGTTACGGTCACGTAATTTATTCGCGAACCGATGTATACTATTGTATTTGACACAAATCGAATTTTTTTCAGACAAAAGAAAACGAGTTTTTTTTCAATGTCATTTTCGCTATTTTATACAATGTATTATTTTATATATAGTATAATCAGTGTTTGCTGTTATTAAAATAAAATTATATAGATGATCATCTATAGATAAAACTTTGGCGTCATCTTATTGTTATATAGATAATGAAAATATGTACTATCTATATCTGTCTTAAATAAAAAAAAAGTATTATCTTTATTAAATTATTTAGAATAATTTTCAGATAATTTTGCTTTAGAATCATATTAAATAGTAGAATTTAAGTAGTAAGCGATAAAAATGTATAAATAAAAATAGCTCTTCATCTTATTTCAGATGAATTTACATATTTTTATCTCATCTTTATCTAGCTAATTTTTAAATAATCTAAACATAACACTGAGTATAATACAAATTCGTACAAATTTAACATAATACTCGATATGATATTTAAATCGTCGGGCTTGAAGGAGGAAAAAGCTTAGGTATATAGCCCATTATCGCGAATTAGAATTTTCTAGATGCGTCACACATCATCGTTATCTATACACCGCACGGCAAAAGGAAATGGATACCTATATATATATGGATATAGAAGAAGCAATTACGATATTTTCTAGCACGGATGAGTCAACATGTGCGTCGCACGTCAAACTCGCCTGGTACCAGTCTCGACAGGAGACACGTATTTGTCACTGATTCAAGGCTGGTGCCCTCCCGTGCGTGCGCGGAAAGCTAATATAACTTTAAGAGAACAAACACGATGAAAGATAACATTATGAAGTTAACGATGTCCAAATATGATTTTAGACGCGCACACGTGTGAGCTGTCATTAAGCAAAAATACATTTCGCCGAATGTAATTTCTACAATCATTTCTCGTCTTCATTTGTGATAATGAGAAATGTGTAAACAATTTCTGTGTATTTATTATTGTCGCGAAACACACCTGTACTTTTCTTATATTTATTCTTAACGATAATTCATATACGTCGCATTACAGCCTTTCTTTGAGTGCACGAGAACTTTTGTATTTGATGCTTGTGTATATTAGCCTTAATCGACTCAGCTCGAGCTTTTCAAAAGGTGAATTGCAAAGTCTAATCGCACACTGTTTGCGGTTAACGAGCTAATGCGTTTGTCAAGTAGCAGACGCGTGGCAGATTATGCAGTGTCAAGAAAAGATCTTGACAAGAAAATTTTTATTTTTTCTTTTTTTTAACTTGTCGTCAGAACCATTGTTATTCCGTAACAATATGCCAGTGACAACTTATTTATAATGCTAAACAGAGACAGACCGTAGTTTTAACTCTAAGTTTAAATTACGAAGTAAGTATATCAGTATATTCTTTAAAAGTATTTTCAAGCAAACATGACGAGGAGTTATCACTTGATTTATGCAATAAATTACGATTCTTATAAATATGCATAATTCTTTAAAAATTAAAATGTCGCTCGACAAAATCACATAATTACGAATATCGTAATGGGTTATTCATTAGCAATTTACGAACAATAATGTTCTGCTTCTCTCTGCACAATAATAAAATTTATATAACGTAAATGCGCCAATAACAATATAACAATAAGGTAAAAATAGTTAATAATATGATCGAATATATGGTGTTACGTATGTCGCAGCGAGAATAAACACTCCTTTTAATACGTCAATTTTTGTCGCGTCAATATAAGAACAAGTAAATCTATTGATAAACATGAATAAAAACATTTGTAATTAGCATATAAAAATACAGTGCTCAAGGATATATTAAGAAAAAAGTAAGTAGTAAAAAAGCAAAATATAAATATAGTTATAAGATCTCTTTTATATCCTAATGAGATAATTTTAATGATATCTTGAAGAGCAATGAATAATGACGTATTATTTTTTACTGCATTAACCTATTGCAAATCGATACGTAAAATTAATTAATTACAAAACAAATACAGAAAGTGTACAGGAAATTAACGTAATTCCGTATAACTTTTTAATAGTGAATTTGATCGGATGCACCACTGAATGCATATAAAGATTTATCACACACAAGTTCACAATGACACAAGTAATTAAAAAAGGAAAATAATTAATAGTAAGAGCTATTATTATTGTTGCTCAGTATGAATAATGATAATAATAGTTCTTAACTACTATTAATTATTTCCTTTTTTTAAATGCTTGTGTCATTGTGAACTGTGTGTGATAAATCTTTATATGCACTCAATGTGCACTATAGTGCATCCGACCGAATTCGCTAATAGACGAGAAACTTTAGAGTTGCATTAGATTTGCGTTATTTCAGACAATGTCCTTTTTGTACGATTAAGACACTGTCGACACGGAATAGGAAAACATTCTAGCTACTTTCACGACAATAAAATTTAGGAGCTCGATGCTCGAAAATCCGTTCGAGCTGGAGAATCGAATGCGGCGTTTAAATTATGCACGCCGCGTCTTTCGAGATACAATTTAAGCGATTGCTCGGCAATCGATTGCAGGGGCAAGAGTCGACGACGACGACGACGACGACGACGACGACAACGAAAACAGTCGCCTTCCTCCGATTATACCGGCTCTTCCGCATCATAAATTATAACGACTGGTACACTCGGGCCGGAAGGATCGCAGGAAGCGGGCCACGAAGCCGAAAACAACAGCGTGATCCACATTGCAATCGACCCGTGAAATGCATTTTCGCGAAATTACCAGCGGCCTGTGAATGAACACGATGCGATGCGGCGCGACCGATCCGAAAATTCGTCCCAAAATCCCGGCTACATCGGACATACGCAATTACTTTTAATCAAACTGTCTGTTGTTTGCAGGCTACCGTGTGTCGGTGTGGTTACTGAACGCACGACTTAACGGTGCATTCGATTCAGGCCTGGATCTCTCTCTCTCTCTCTCTTTCTCCGTCTCTCTTTCATTATTAATCCATCGCATATTCACATTTCGTGACTAATCGCGTCGGCGAAGCAATAGCTGTGATGCTGTCATATACCGCGAACGAGGATGCGGTATATCTCATTATGTTTTGATGATGCAATAGGGAGAATAAGTTGTGGTTAAAAAATTGTTTCTTATATATTCCATCACAAATAGGATGGATCATTAAATAAAAAAATGTCACAAATCATTATAAAAATGTCAAGAATTATGTTAATAAGAATAAATAAGGATAAATAAGAATCATTAACAAGATTCTTGACATCTTATGTCAAGAATCATGTTAATGATTCTTATTTATCCTTATTTATTCTTATTAACTTTATTTAATGATCCATCCTATTTTTGATGGAATATATAAAAATTTTTAATCATTTTTTAATCACAACTTATTCTCCCTATTGCATCATCAAAACATAATGAGATATACCGCGTCCTCATTCGCGGTATATGACTGCATCACAGCTATTGTTTATCGTATCATTAACATGATTCTTGACATAGTCAAGAATCAATTCTCAAGAAATCTGACTCAAAGGATAGAAAAACAATTGATTAGATTGAATAGAGTGCGTAATTGATCGAGAGGACGTATAATTTATATTCGGAACTTTTAAAAGATATAAGTATTTGTAAGATTCACACAATTGTTTAAATATATTTTCTTTTCTGTAAATAATTTAAATTACTCGATAAGTTTGATGTTTGATAAACTAAAAAATGTTTATTTTCCAAACTATCTGATTGTGAGTTCAATACGTTAAGTCAACAAATCGCAAATTATTTTCCGAGTTAATTCTGAATTTACAATTCAAAATTAATTTTATAATAAGTGCATTTGATATGATTGCTATAAATACCGCTATTAATTCAACGTTTGACGCATAAATAGCAGCTATACATGTATGACACATAGAAATACCTGTTTAGAATCGATAATAAGTGCAAAGTTAAATTTACGCGATATATATATAGACGACAAAATGGACGATATAATAACACATTTATCTAGTACAATGAATTCATTGTAGCTACAATTTTGTGCAGAATTCATATAAATTATATAAATTCATATAAATTATAATATACATTTTGTTTGTCATATAAATTATGCATATAGAAAAAATTCGAAGAAGAATTCGTATAGAAGTAATAAAGCAAGCAGCAAATGTTCGTAAAACATTTTACTCAAGATAATAGAAAAAGATATGAATTACGTGATATTGCAACTGTTGTGTGCGGTTATTCTTAGAAAATAACATGGTTACATAATTTTACATCTAGCACAGACATCATTCAATTATTGACAAGATGATCGTACATAATAAGGTGTTTGGTGCTTGACTATATAACTAACGCTTTTATCAACTTTTACAAAGACAAACGAAAATTATAGATAATTCTAGTATATAGCTTTGATAATAACACGGAAATTATAAAAAGATGTAAATTAAAGTTCTAAATATATATTTTAATACGCAAATCTCTTTTCGATATTTTTAAATGAAGCTCTTTAAAAAATTTTCATATATTTGTACGATCGCATTTTTAATTAAATATTTTTCGCAGATTAATGTATTTTGAGAAAAAATGATAGAAAATAGATTTTTTTTGTAAACATACATATTCATTTGAAATAATAGTTAAAAGAATAATTATTTGGAATAATATAATATGTTACCTTGTGGTTATACGGAGAAATTCTCGTGTTGAAGCATCTCATGAGGCAAATCTCGCCTGTTTCCGAAGTTTCTCATGTAGCGGATTTCTTACGCAGAAGCGCGCAAGCATAGTAGCGGTACACCGATGCGTGCCCGCGTGTACACACAAGCGTGTTGTGAGATGCACGATAATTATCGTGTTCCGCTGCACTAGTTGGCCCGTCACCGCGCGCGCGATTTCCATAATAATAATAATAATAATAATAATAATACCCGCATATACACAGATATACACACTAATATGCGTATCGCCCTCGGTTGCACCACGTATGCGAACGATAAGGATTCTCCGAAGCAAGTACCTCCCGACTAACCTATATTTTCGTCCAGATTATAGAATCTTTCAATATATTATATATTCACATTCTGAAAATTTATTGCTCGTGCCACTTATCTTTTCGCCGTTTATTTTTTCTCGGAAAGTCTCGCGATTATTTTTTAAACACAAACTAATAATATAAGTCGACGACAGACACGATAATTTATATATCGTTTACTTGGAACAACAGCAGAGTATTACTCATACCTGCGCATGTGATGCCTTGATTGGCATTTGCATTAAAATTAAATACATACTACGCAGAAAGTCTACGAAAAAGTACGTGACGAAAAATATGACAAATTTCGCGCAACGATAATCATCTCGATGTATCTTACGCAATTGTTTACTCTGACAATGAGACGTAATCTTATAAAAAAAAAAAAAAAGAAAAAGAAAAACACGATCATTAATGCGAATTGTACATACACTATGCTTATACATCAACGGGTAGAATTAATGCGGAATAATGCGAAGACGCCGATATATCGAGGAAAAACCGCGAAACCGTGATTCACGCGACGGATCACATGCCGCATCGTCCCGCCATACTCGCGGTCACGTGACGTTTCCCGCCACACTTGTCGTCCCATGCCGCACGCCGCGCCGCGCCGCGCGCGGTCACGTGACGCGAGTCACATGACCGCGTAACTCTCCGGCGGGATCGCAATCGGGGGATCGTATATAGCCGGGAACGCCGGCAAAAGTCGTGGGGCAAAGCGACTGTTTTCCGCGGTCCGGTTTCACGAGTAACCTTGATCCTTTCGTATCGAGTCGTACGTGACAGGCATCATCGTTCGCGTCGAGTCTGCTACTGGGTGAACCGAACCGGTTAGTGTCGATCGAAGCATCGTCGAGGCAACAACGAGCGAGATATCCCTTAGCGAGTTTTCGAATCGTCGGAGTTTTTTGTGCGACGAAGATGAAGACGTACGTTACTATCGTCGTTGCGTGCCTCATCGCGTGTGCGCACACTCTTCCAAGTAAGTGACACTTTTTCTTGATTAACTTATTTTCTTTTTCTCTGCAAAATTTGAATCTCCCGAATACGGTAAAATTTCGAGATACACGGTTCTCTTGCACTCGTCAATTGTCAGGTTAAATATGTATAGTATTAGCGATTATTATTAGCGTGTATATACATGTATATTTGGGATAAAAAAAAATTCGTATCACAATTTTTAGCCTCCCAGCAAACACCGATATATAATTGTTACATTGCTATAATAAAACGGAATATAACAAGTAATATAACGTGTATGTTACATGTAACATCCATGTTAGTTGTAATTTCCCACTCATAGATGTAACATTTTAATATAACATATATTACCTTGTAGTTATATTGTAATTATATACCAAATAGCACATTGATGTATTGATAAGTCAGTGCTATCTTGGGATATAATGACAATATAATTACAATGTAATATATGTAATATTAAAATGTTACATCTATGAGTGGGAAATTACAACTAACATATACGTTACATGTAACATGCTTGAGTATATAACATTTATATACTGTGTTTGCTGGGCTAAATCCATTTTTAAGATTATGCGGAATGTAATTCTTGAGTTTTAATTTTTATTAACTTTCACTAAAAATTACAATATGCGTGTTCTGCTTGGCAGATATGTATTAGGAATTTTGCGTCTAATAATTGTTCTCCCATTATATATGATTGATTATACGTCTGAGTCAATAAACGATGTGCAATTATAAGTTGTGAAATGAAGTATAAAGGTTGAAATGAAATATAATTAAGCTACGTATATAATGGCGTAATCCGCTCTATTTCTTTATTTATTTAATATATTTTATGAAATACTCTATATAATATCGTTATTATCCATCAACGCATCGTTATTATTTTTCTTAATTTAGAGAAATTATGGTAATTATATTATTATTTAAAACTATAATTATTATTATTTACAACCTTTTTTTTCAAAATAGCTTACATGTAAAACTGTGGATTATGTAAAACTAAATTATTCGATAATATCAGATAATGAAATATTCTGTTATTTCCGTTATGCTATAATCGGCTCGAAAGATAAAATGCGCTGCTATCTGCTAAAATACGATGTTAAATCAATAAAAGCTACTGCATAAAAACAGATTTTAGTTTAATATCACACAGTAAATTAATATAACGATTATTTCCAGCCACAAAATTCACTTCGTTAATACGCCAAATAAACAAACTTTGTTTTAACTTACTTACGAATATTCCGGTTTCACACATTTATTTCACATTTTTATACATATGAATTTATATATTTGATTATTTTGCTCTTGTGAAATAATAAAATAAGCTTTAATATATTACGTTATCAAACAACATCAAAATATTATACAATATTATTTTAAGCTAATTTTGTTTTTACGTTCCAATGATATTTGTAAGCAAATAAATTATTCAAAATTATGTCAGATCTTTCCAAGGTTTTGATTTCTTATGCATTTTGGATCATACATACATTATAATAAAATGTAATTTAAAATGCTTATTTTCTGTACGCATCTTCCTGAAAGCTTATCGCGGCTCCATTTGTCGCATTGAGCGATTCTTCAGGATTATTTGCATTCGGTTCACGACATTTATGCATCGTTATAAGGCGAAGCGGGAGCCCGACAAGCAAATATCTCGATTGAATGTCAAGTCACGAAGAAATCGTGGAAGCAGATAGCACGCTCCAACTACTTAAGGCCGTTGTTTACTCGATTACAACTCGATATGAAATTCACTTCCAGCATAGACTTTGCTAATTAGCATCGGCCCCGTTTTTGCGAGAGACAGAAACGGCAGGAAGCTCGTTTAATTGGAGCTGCTTCGTCGTATAATTGTCCAAACGAATTTCCCCATCGAAGTCCAATTATTCCTCTTGATTTTAATATAACTTTATCTCTCGAGCCGACCTTTGTGTGTCTCGACTCTCTTTTTAATCGTGCGAAAATCTTTACAAAAATAACACAGTCTGATTTCTGGCAAAAAATACGATATAATATTGCTAATTTAAATTGATTGAAATTTCTGTTTTAGAAAAAGAGATTATTTTCGTGAAATTTGACATATTACTTATATATACATATAATATATATGCGGTGGACAATAACAATTTGAAAAAACGAGTTTTATTAAAAATTTCTTGATCAAATATTGTCTTTTATTATTTTATATATTATAAAAATTTTATATTTTTATACATATAAAAATATGATTATTTAGTGTTAATTTTTACCGTTGTTCAATGTATTCGGACATATAGAAAGTTTTCGCATGTGTTTCTAAACATCATTTATAATTTTTACCACGCAAGCAACACTTTATGTCTAAAGGAAATTAAGGAGTTTGCATTCAAATAATTGTACATGCATAAATGCATGCCGCATTATTGCAGCAGCCAACATTTGTAAAACGATCTCGAGAACTTTATGCGTATTCCCTCGTTGAAATACCAAATGATACGAATATTTTAACCAGTGGCATCATGACGCGCCACGTATTACAACATGTCGTAAATAACTTTCGTGAAACTAAAGCTTTCAGATTGTGAACTGCTATTATAAAAAAAAAATACTCGAGAGATGATTTACTTACGCGAATATGATGATTCAGCGTCTGCGGAGAACGTTCGATATAAATAATGATATCGACTCATTAACAGCTCGTCCAGCTGTGACAGATAAACAGCGTCGTAATCGCATAAATAAAACTCCTTTCGCCATAGGAGCGAATGTTACACGTCTATTATCGCGTACTCCGCGAGAAGTACGACGCCTCCGAGGCGAGATGTTTCTCTTAAACGTGATGTACCTGCCAGTTTCCATGCCGTGAAACTTCAGCGCTAGAACGCGGTCTCCGCAGGAGAGAACGTCTGCTCTCATTATGTTCGCTGACAGCCGGGTGACAGCCGGATAATAATGTAATTTTTGAGACTTTCGGGACGCGGCCAACAAGCTAGGGGGCGAAAATCGAGTTTCGGCGAGTTTCGATCGCGAACATATTCCCTCGTATCGTCCTGCATTCCGCCGGTAGATAGAGATATGAAGTAGCAAGTCTGTTAGCGTCAAACAGCGCTGAATCCTGCCACAGAATGGTGTATATAAGCAGATTGTGTTTAATCCTATTAAGAATACGTAATCATCGTGCTTACCGCTGGGTAATCACGCATCGTCTTTGAGCCAGGCTTTGCGTAATAATTATCTGCAATCGTAAATCTCTCTCGTGCACCGAACATGACGTTTAGCATTATATCGCAAACGCAGTGTATGTTCTCCGTCGTTGTTGCGGTTTGCTTATATATATACGAATAATTACGCTTTATATATATATATATATATATATATATAGAAATCGATATGATAATAGTCGAATTTACGAGAGATGCGTTTCCATCCATTAGATGCGACGTACGTGTACTCTATTGTATGATAAAGGAGAATACGCGTATATTTACGCATTTAATGATCAATTACATTGCTATTCAACCTATGCATTGAATAAGCATAATTATCCGAGATATTTCAAGACGACTTGCGGACGTCATGCATATAATTTTATAAAATATTGAATCAAGTTGCATATAGATTTACTTATATGCGATTAGACAGATAATGTTTTACAAGTTTATTTTAAATTATTGTCGGAAGCACACCTCATTAAAAATCATTAACTTTCATAAAATGCTAATAATATGTATCGTAAAAATGTATATAAATTTACATGAACAATCAGTGTAAAATTATTAAAATTATGAATTTTGCGCTTAATATTGTTCGTGTAATTTTGTAGTATTTTTTTTTTTTACATATGTTGCATCGTCATGCACTAATTTATTATTAATAAGTTTTTGATTTTATAATCGATATAAATTAGTATTAGTCTTTTCTCGTACGAAGCACACCTACACATTCGCATTCGCATGCATAAAAATGTGTCGCCTAAATCACTCCACTCGACGCCAATTACAGCGGGAAAGAAATCGTGACTAATTACTTCCCATATATCGCTCACTCTCTGATTAGTTGATTCACGTAGCGTCGCAACGTGGCAGTTGCACAATCCGGTAATGTAATTCCTTCTTCCTATGTTCCGCATAGCGATCGACGAGCCTTCTGTCATCGGGTTCCCTTTCAACCTCCCTCTTCACACGTGCAATCACATCGATATATATATATGTATATATACCATTTGCGCGCTTATAATGGGAATATACGCTATAACACAATTATGTACGACAAAGAGTAATAATGGATTCTGATGGAATATTTTTATGCCTTTAAATTATCTGACTATAAAAAAAATTTTTTACTTAATTTTTACAATTTTTATAATTTTAGATAGCATATCTCATACCAATCTATTTTATAATAAGCACGAAAGTTTATATAAGTTATATAATTAATAAATAATAACTTATATACAGTGTTGGATGATTTTAAAATTAGCTAGATAAAGATGAGATAAAAATATGTAAATTTATCTTAGATAAGATGAAGATGATTTTGTTTTAAATATATCTAGATAAAAGATATATAATTATATATGGCGACTATTTAAATTATAATATAAACGACAATATAAATTCGATTATTTAAATATTTTTATGTGCTATGATTCTAAAGCAAAATTATCTGAAAATTATTCTAGATTAATTTAGTAAAGATACTTTAATACATATTTATATTATCCATATAAAGATAAGATAACCAAAGTTCCATCTATAGATCATCTATATAATTTTATTTAGATAACAGCAAACACTGCTTATATATACAAAAAACTCATAGAATTTTTATTAATTATAGAATTAGATACTTTAAACGCATAAATTATTAAATTTATATTTTATCTTCACTATTGCTCAGAAAAATTCGAAAGCAGAGAAAATATGGCTCTCAGGTGTTATTATTACCCTTCGCTGTAGTTTGCGCAATTCTATATGCGGAGTGTCCTTGCGTGTTGACGGCTTA